CAAGAGTTCCGAAGAAGGACGTCGATGGTATTTACCACACATAAATACATAAAGTTCCTATCGCGTCGTCCCAGGCGTATAAATAGCCGTCCTAAAGGCGAAATTCCGCTTACAATCGCGTCTGATAACGACTGCTCTGGAACGAACGTCAGTTACATTGAGTAATCGCCCAGACTTGTTTTGGTTGTCATTCCTGCAGACAAGTTTTCTGGAGAATGTCTCGAGACGGAAAGAGATGGGAGAGAGGGTCACGTGCTCTTCGGAAAAGGGGGAGGGGAGCTGTCATCAGCGGCCATTTTGGGGAGAGGGAGGCGCATCTTTAACGAGGGTCCCCGCAGGGCTGTCTGATCAGCGTCTGCGATAACAGCGCCGCGGCGTGCCACCGCGTCGCAGTGGCATCGCCATCACCGCAAACATCTCCCTGGGGACCCATTAAAATAAGCTAAAACCTGTAACGACGCAGACGTGATAAAGGTGAGAGAGAGACAGAGAGAGGGTGGCAGAAATTCAAAGGCAAAAACCGGGAAAGTCGAGAAAGACTGGAAGGTTCAAGGGAGATAGGTGCCGAAACTGCTTCCATCAGGTACCACTTTTCGAACTTTGAGCGCAAAGTTCGACAAGTTTTACAAAAGTTCGCCTTTCGTGCGCATGGGCGATAATTGAAAACAAGGGATGCCACCTGGCGGAGTAAGATCGCATTATTTGATTTGATTTGAGTATTTGCTTCAGGTACAGGTACATGGTACTGAAGGCGTGTGGAAAAGCTCTCACAAGGACAGCTCGACGAAGCCGCAATGTTCAGCACAAGAAAAAGAAAATTTGCTTGTAGTTGAATTTCCAGCGTTAAAAACAAAACTTCAATATAAGCAAGAACATAGAGACACAGAATGGCATACAACTTCGGATGTAAGAACGGTTGAAGTGATGAACAAATTGTAAGGGCGCAAACGAGCTGGTGTACATTGCACATGGTCGAAGAAACCCCGAGACTGCGGGTAAACGACACAACGACACAAGTAGATTAGAAATGATCATTTATGTTTCGCACTGACAAAACAGTTCATATGTTTCCTTTGACATTGTGTAAACATTGGTCATCGTTTTGTAAAAAATAAAACAAACCACTTCATAAAATATTTCTTCCTCAAAATTTTACATTCTTTTGTGTACAAGTCTGGCGACACTGTCCATAAGCCGAACTTCGAATTTTGCTGAACGTTGCGAAAGTTTCGCCGGACCTCTGGTTCGACAATTGTTCGCACGACATCCCTAGCTTGAAGGGAGGCATTATCAGAGACACACGCTCTGACCATTTGAAGACGAATTGAGAGAGGGTATCGTGGATATTATGGAGGGACGTATAAATTGAGAGAGGAACGTTGGAAAAAGATCTTTGTCGAGCTGCTCTCTAACCGGACTCAGCCACCATTTTTTTTTCCTTCGGAGTGTTTTAGAGTTTGTTTGCTTTTATGTCCATGCATGTCTGTTTTTTTATTCCGCCATTTTTGATTCATCCCTCCAGGGTTTGTTTTCTTTTCGTTTTCTGGAGGCACGCAGTCCACGAAGCCTCGTTAGTTTCGTTTAACGTTGCGGCGGTTCGTCAGATGTGAAAGGACAAAAAAAAAAAAAGATATATATAAAAAGGGGAAAACAAAAACATAAAAGGGACAACGAGAACGCCTGTCCGGTTTTTGGCGGAATGAGTGGTGGAGAGGGTATTTGGAGAAGGGGAGAGGGAAAAAAAAGTGGTAGTTGTTCCCCGCTACGTTGCTGGTCCGGCTACTGTGCAGAGGGCTGGGTTACACGGGGCGTGTTTCTTTTATTTCTTTGTTTCTGGAATGTTCGCCGCCTTTTTTTGTATTTACCTGCGCGTCGGGGCTGCGCCGGGCATGCAAGCGGGTCGGCAGCTTGACAGGAACTGCTCATTGAGCCTTCGGGAGCGTCGGATACGGCCTGCCGGCGTCTACTCGGCCCGGGAGTGTGACCTCTAAGGTGTCCCTTTAACGAAGTAAGCCAGAGCTCTGGTTTGTGCACTTCGTGATTTCAGTGGGGTGACTTGACCATTATAACGAATTAAAACTTTTGATGTAGATTCAGACACGGTACCGAATTTACATTGGATAAAGTCATTCAGTCAAAGAACGCGCATGCGCTGAGGCTCGCAACACAGTGCTACGTAGGATGGGAGGCAAGCGTTCTCGGAACAGAATTTCTAGCTCCATCTAATTTTCAAAAGATTAAATAATATATTATATATATATATATACAGGGTATTCCACGTATATTCCACGGTATTCCACGTATATTCCACGTAACTTGAGCCAAGGTTTAAGAACATTTTGGTCCAGTTTAGGGAGATGAAATTAAACGAGTACGTTTGTTCATTGTTTGGAGCAAGTCAGGCTATTTGTTTTTTGTATTTAGCTCAATGAAATAATTAATTAGGATTAATTAATTACTTTTTGAGATATTCAGTTTAGAGCAAAAGTGCAAATGACAAAGTTGTAGAGCGTCCTCAGAAACATCCAACTCAGTGGTTTTTATCAAGAAACTTTAACATCCTTTTTTTTATGGGCTTAAAAAGTATTGCGAAATATGAAGAGAGAAAAAAAAGTGTGCCTTGCATCATGTATTTCAGCGCTCTCAGCCGTGGCTTGAATAAACTAGGCTTGCATGCTGAATAGAGCACTGGTGACTGGACGCTGTTAACAAATTCGCGGTTTTTTTTTTTTATAATTGGGGCACTTTTTTTTTTTTTTTTTGAGCCCGTAAAAACGAATTGTGAGCAGGGATGGGCACTATTTCAAATACAAGTATTTGAAATAGGTATTTCAAATACTTCGTGTATTTTGCATTTGTATTTAATTATAAATTGGGTAATGTATTTGACCTGTGTATTTAAATACTAAAACGTGGGTATTTCAAATACAATTGTAATTAAATACAATTCTGTGGGCGAAAATACATCCCCCAAATTTATTGTCACTGTCCAGAGCAGGAAGAAACTATGTTCTGCACCGGGGGAATGCAGTGTCTCTCAATCAAGCACAAGCGTTTAGTGACTTTGTGAATACGGTGCTAGTCCAGGGCAAGAATATTGACGAAATGAACGTTCACAGGCAGTCTGGCTAAATAAGTGCCTGTGACAACTTGTGATGCTTTCCAGCCTGATTTCCATCCATATTTTGGCCTGGAACATTCTAAATGCACGGGTCGTCCAGATTTTCGTAACTGGTGCGAGTTGCAACCATAAAAATTCTCTAGCTAGTGCTGCGCGTCTTGGTCGTCTCGGTTCTTTGTTGGTCTATACCAAAATGTAATCGACAAAAAAGCTGCTTGAAGCTCTGTACTTTTTTCACCTATTACGTCCAAGCTTATTACATTTTTTTTTTTGTGATTATATTTGTATTACGTTACTAGAGCCTCGCACACTAACTCTAGAGTGTGCGACGCAAAATTAAAATGAGATACCCAGAAACCCGTTGCAGCTGTCCTGAAGTCGCTGACGCAAATTTTGAGGAATCTATTTGGAAAAGTATTTGGAGGAGACCAAATACATTTGGTTGTATTTGTATCTTGTACTTAAATGCTTTTTTGGAAATGTAATTAGATTTGTAATTAAAATGCAATTTTGACGAAGTATTTTGTATTTGTATTTCGATACATATTTGCATGTATTTTGCCCATCCCTGATTGTGAGGTTTCTTGATAAAAACCACTGAATTGGATGTTTCTGAAGACGCTCTACAACTTTGTCGTTGGAACTATTGCTCTAAATTGAATATATCAAAAGTTAATTAATCTTAATTAATTAGTTCATTGGGCAAAATACAAAAATAGCCTGACTTGCTCCAAACAATGAAGAACCTTATTCGTTTAGTTTCGTCTTTCTAAAATGCACCAAAATATTTTTTAAACCTTGGCTCAAGTTACGTAGAAACTACATTGGAACGCTGCAGACAGTGGTATTTAGGTCCTCCAGATGTGTACATCGACTTAACGTATTTTCCTGATTTATTGAACCGTTTCTAAGGGCAACCTAGCAAAAAAAAAAAAAAAAAAAAAAAAGGGTTTTTCAAAACATTAAAGGGGGCGCTTTAAAGCGGCTGAATGACGTCACTTCCTTCTGCCAAAAGAGCTGTGTTCAGCAAACGCCGGAGACTCACTTGTCTGTGCAGGAACTACGCTTCCGCCTTAGGGACTAGAGGGCAAGAAGGCGAATGGTCCCTCTAGGATTGAGGCTAATCGAGAGGTTGTTGACGCTCCTTGCGGCGAAGCCAGTAAATGGTCGAGACCAGTTTTTCCGTACATTGTGGCGACTTTCCAACGCCCCTCGTCGTTTATTTTTTTTCTTTTACTATCGGGAATGAATACCGCTCATTAACATGTCCAGATCAGATACCACGCGATACTGGGGCTTAACGCGTGGGCACGATGAGTTAAGTTGCCTTAATGCTGAAATGTGAGACTGAGCCATGGTCATGTTACCAGCTGGTTGATAGTTGCCGCGTTGCATGTCCAGGAGCCAATTCGTAACTTTCAGCGATGGTGGTACCGTGGTGTGGGAAGCACGCACTCCCTAGCTCCTGGACGGTCGGCTTCAGAATTAAGGTGCTTGCTTATACCTTCCTGACGTGGAAGTATGACGTAAAGCTCTCATATCGCTCGTATTTCACAATATTGGAATCATTTACGCGGCGCGGACCCGACCTTTTACTCCTGTGCCTACGACGATCACCCTGATGACGGCCATTTTGAGAGGAACTAGGGCGCCCCCTACAGCGCCGAGATAACGCTGCATTTTCTGTGTGCCCGGGAAAAGCTGGTGTCACGTGCGGTGGAGTGCAGATACAGGGCTGACGTAGGGCAGAATCAGCGCTGTGTCTAGTGCTGCAGTGTATGTATAGAACAAGTTTTAGTAATATCACCGCGAAAAAAAAAAGTAGTTGATTAATGTGATGTGCGAGATTTGACCGTTGTCGCTCTGTCTGTTTGCTCAGGTGACGTTCAGCTACTCGAGGTTCGGCAAGGAGATGAACGTCCTGTCCATTGACGGCTTCCCTTACAGGGTGGACCCTACCAGGTCAGTACCTCCCTCTCTTCCTTCGCTCGCCGCGAAACGCCTTATTTTACTCGTTCGTACACAGTTCCTGGAAACTCGTCTTTACGGGTTGCTGCGTTTAGCGTCCCATCAAAGGTGGTCCCGGAGAGGTAGCAAACTATACGTCACAGGAGACGGCCTATCACGCTGTCGGATGTCGCGATCCTGGCAGAGCCGGATCCAGAACTCCGTATTGGGGGGGGGGGGGGGGGGGGGGGGGGGGGGCGGGCGGGCGGGGGCGGAAATTTTGTACAGGCTTCTGCCGTATCCAGGCCGTATATACCTTTGCTGCTGTGCCACCGTTAGGATCGCGACGAGCAACAGCATGACGCTTCCGTGACGTCAGAAGGCAGAAATCGAGGGACCACATTTGAGGACATTGTAAACAAACCAGACGGAGACGCGCAGCAGGAATTATACTCAAAAATTTAGAAATTTCGAGACATATAAACGATTTCTGTCCGTTTGGTCGTGGTCTCACTCTGCCGTAAGGCGGGCGATGACCGCAACGGGAAGGTTAACCGCTTAGTGCTGTAAACTCGTGGTTAGTGGAACCGCGGTCTCCAGAAATCTTCCCAAAGCTAATCTACACGGAACTAGAAAGAAAAGGAACAACCGTATTTCTGTCCTGCCGAGATTGCGTTCCGAAGGAACCCCGAATTCCGCGGGCTACACTGGGGGCCAACAACGCCACACAGCGCGGTGAAAGCGACCTTGGCGCCACCTGCCACTCCAAGGTGGCGGCCCCCATGGCGCTTCTCATTTCCCGACATCTGGCAGACGACGTCGACCGCGACGCCTCAGCCAAACGCTCCTCCGCTACAAGAAACAAAAAAGAGCCAAAACAAAAGGGAATGGCATCTTTCTTTTTCGGGGTTGGAGAGGTCGGGAAGGGGGGGGGGGGGGGGGGGGGAGTTTGTTGTTATCCTCCCGACTCGTCACTAACCCTCCTCACTACACGCGACGAGCTAAATAATAAAAGCAACAATGAAAAGAAGAGGCCTGTTATTTAACTTGGCTGCTCCTTCCTAGCTAGCAGCCGGAGGGCCACCGCCGCTCTGCCACTTTTGCAAAGTTGACTCCCCGCCAAGTGGAGAGGGGGCGCTGAGAACGCTTTTTCGCCCCGCGGCCACGTTTGGCGTAATTAAAGGGACCAGTTTCTTTTTTTTCTTCTCTTCGCGTGTTCTTCCTCCGTTCGGGTTTAGTGTTCTTTTTTCGGAGGGTAGGAAGGTCGTGAAGTGGGCGGTTCGGTAGCCGAGTTGCATGCCGATGCGCTCGGCCGGGGCTATGCAGATGAGAAATGGACAGTAGCCGGCGGTGTGACCAGTACCACCTATAGAAGAGAAGGCCTGCACTTCCCCCGCTTGAGCGTGCTTGCCGCATGGGGTGGGTCGGGGGTCCACTAACCATGACGTCATGCGCAGGCCTTGTGTTCTAGATGGTATTGGTGTGATGCGTGTAGGACCGGGCGAGTTCATCACCGCCAGTGACGAATGTACCCGTCGATGTAATCAGTTCTCGTTCTTCGTTTTTACTTCTTCTGGCGGTAAGTCGGTGACTGTATAGTGGGATTGCTTCTTTACTACTTTGGCTTCCGAAGGCCGATTGCGTCAGGGTTGACTGCGCCTCAGGACAAAAGCCGACCGGCTCTCAAATAGTTCGCCCGGTTTTAACGAGGTTTTTCACTCTTTGCGTGGTGTGTGTATGTGTGTGTTTGTACGTGTGTGTGTGTGTGTGTCTGCTTGTTTGCATGTTGTGTTTGCTACATGGACTGCTAGTGAAGTAGAATAACTGTAGTAATTGTTCTGCTTTTTTGACGGTCGCCTTGCAACGCATTACCTTTCGCTCTTTCTGCCGGTGCGAAGTTCTTGGTTTTTTTTTTTGCTTGCTTCTGTGCGCCAATATAAAGGTGGTTTTATCAATCAACCTGGTATAATTGAAGCTAACAAGCGACTTGTACGTATATGCTTGTTTAGAAGGGAACAATTTGTTTGGTCGAGCCTTCGATGTCTATTGGAACGTTTTCAATAATCTCTTTTCGGTAGGGTTTTCAAAGAAACAGTGCTGCATTATTCTAGCCACGGCCAGTGGCGTGGTCATGTCTGAGTCTCGCGCTCACACAGCCAATAATCGCCGGCCATTTTGGGCTATATATTACGGTAAAGTCTTTACACACTTGTTTCTTTTTTTTTTTTTTTTTTTTTTTCAGGTTCCTGTCCCTACACTGTCACCTATTCCCCAACTTCAGCTTCTGCCCCAGATAGCGGCGCAAGCGACATCTAATCTGCATTTAATGTGCCAACAGTCATTTTACAAATTATACACTCCGGGCACCAGCGCAGAGCAGCGAGCGGGCCAAAATGGCGCGGGTCAACCAGTCGCAGACGACCAGCCCTGGGATTGCGTCCCATTACATCGTGGCGGAAAGAGAGCGCCTACAGCGCTCCCGAGCGGCGGAGAACACGGACAACAAAATGCCAACGACGCCAGTCTGCAGTTTTCTTTTCTTTTTTTTTTTTGTCCTGCGTTTGATCTACAGCAGCAGCAAGAGTCTGTAATTTGGTCATTGCTCTGATGTTGCCGTTGATGCTGCTGCCTCTTTTGCTGGGAGGACGGCCGACGTATGGTTTTAATTGCGTCGGGTTTAGAGGACCCGGTCAGGTCCGCCTGACAAATTGCCCGTCGTTTGGAGTATATTCTGGGAACCCACGTTTTCTTAATGATAGTCAGGTTGAATTACGTTGATGATGTATAGTGTAGCCACCGAGCTTGTCTCTTGTGGAAGTGGCCTTTGAGCGCTAAAAGTTATGATGATAGTTTTTTTTTTATGTTCCAACAAATTTGGTAGCAATTTACTTGGCCATGCAATCGAAGATGTTTGAATTTGACCGCATCTTTGAAATTGCTGCTTTTGCATTGAAGATGCTAATGTTTCACAAGTAAGCGCAATCCTTGAAGCAATAGATGCGTATAGAATAATTGGAACAATGTGTACTTATTCTGAATGTGCATGCACTCAGTCAGAAGGGCAGTGCAACTAAAAGCAAACTCGACAACATAATAAAGAGAACACAGTACTGTTTCAATGTTTACAATGAATGTTATAAAGTACGGCTTCACGATGTTTGTGATTGAAGTGTCTTCAAAGCATGCATCCGTTCGGCATCTTTCATTGTGCTGTTTCGAGGCAGTTAATTTATGAATAATCGCGTTGCAGTTTTCTTACCCACGAGTCTTGAATTGTTTTAAGACACACACACATTCAACCGGAGTATTACAAACAATCTTATATTTGGTATTTGTGAGGAGCTCGATGTCACAACCATGGGTTGTTATCAGTTTGGAAGATCTCGTTTTCTTCATCTGTTAATCGAAAAGCTATTCGCAAGAGAGCTGCTAGAAAGCTGGACGTTTATGAGTTTACTATCTTTTGCTTAACCACGAATCATATCAATTCAGTTTCGAGGCAGTTTTTAATGTCCGAAAATCTTTATGTAGATGAGGGCATCTTGCGAAGTCTGAGTGTTTATAAAGTACAAAAAGATTGCAACCTATAATTCCTGTAGCCTTTTTGGGAATACTACGAGTAGGTTGTAAAGAGCATCTTCGTGAACCACGAGAAGTCCCTGCGTTCGTATACAGGCTTGACGAATCATTAGGATTTCCTGATGGTCCATCAAGGCTTCAGTGACATCATAGCGGGAATTCCTGATGATTTGTCAGGGTTTTCTGTAAAAAAAAATTTGTAGTTGGTCAAGTTGGTACATCTTAGATTCAAAGAGCTCCAAAACAAACAAGAAAAACGGGAAGAATTGGACGAAACGATGAGCTACTGTCAACTGATTTTTTATTTGGAAAATGCGAGCATACATATGGGCACTAGCAAGCGAACCACATGCTCACAAGGCTGAGTGGTTTTCTTGGGAGTGAGCGAATGGTTTGCTCGGGAGTGAAAATATATGTTCGTCTTTTCCAAATAAAATTTCAGTTGACAGTAGCGCATCGTTTCGTCCAATTCTTCCTGTTGTCCTTGATTTTTCGACCCTTTTCGAATGTAGGGTTTTCTGGATTGTTTCTTCATGTCATAGGAACCTCATGGTTTGTCAGAAATACCGGGTAGGTTTCCGAGCCGGTTTTGACGGTGATAAGTCGGAAATCGCTTATAAACAACGTGAAGTTTTTGCCCCCATGCCACAACGTTGATGCTGAGATTGAATAAGCAGCTATATTTTATTTTTTTATTTTTCAAAGACCGCATCCCAAGTGCCTTAGACATCTAATAGATGGAAATACTCTAAGTTCAGATTGCGCAATGTCTCGTCTTTTCGATGTCATTACTTTTTTTAAGTTCGCGTTTTGGACAGGTTTTAAATAGTTTTATTGTTATTTTTTATGAGGTGTCGGAACAGTTATGCAGCTGTTTTTACCCACAATGGCCGCATGCATGCCGCCATTTTTTTAAAGGAGCTATTGTAAATTAATTTGTACATATATATACTAGAATACTTTTGTAAAGAAAATATATATTGTAAAGTGTACATAACGCCGTTTATTTCATATGTATATAATTCGAAAATCGAGATTGATTTTGGGTACTTTTGTACTCAAGAAGTGTTCTGTTGGTTTTCCTTTTACGGTATATTTTTTTTTTATGGCTGTGCTGATTGAATAATCGGCGAGCGTTGCGAAATTGCGAATAAAATACAAAATGTGGAAACTGATTTTCAATTGTACTGTGTCTTTCTAATTGATTTCGAACAGTGGAAGTCCCGCTTCGTCATAGCCAAGGAACGAAGGCTACCGCTCCCTCCAGCCAATTGGAGTGACTGAGCAAAACACGTGACAGTTATTATTATTATTATTTTTTTTTTTTGCAGGAGTGCACTTCGGCGATACGTTGTCACGTACCCCGTTCTGATGCTCTGATTGGCTTGCCAGGGACGTAACTTTCGCTATCTTTGAGTTATGGTGAAACGGAGTATAGTTGATGTTGTCCCGAAGAGATAATAGATACCATCAGTGAACACAAGGCGAAACAAAGGTTGAAGCGTCGGAATTGGAAATGTGGTGTTTTATATCCAGTGTGCGACGCAATTAACTTTTTGTCTGTGTGTTTTCTTTTTTTAATTTTTGGTGGGCGCTTTAATTTCACGATATCCAGTTTTTACCTGTAGTCGATCAGGTCACCCAAACTTTGTTTCTACGAGTCACCCACGGGTCTCCCACAATTTGTTTCTACGACACCCGTGCAATAAGACCGTAGGGATAGTGCTGACATTAACCTGTTGGGACCATAGAGTTATTATAATGTACGCTAGAGGTTCAACTGGCGCTAGTGTCTATGCGACTTCCGTGACGCAAATTGAAGCAGACAGCAACCAGTCTACTTTTCCAGTCTTCCTGTGCATTCCTATGAGAAAACGCGCGTGCATTTTGCCTCTTTGCCGAAAAATAACACGGAACACATTGGTTATTTGGGTCGTATCGAATAGTATGTACCTTGATTGACACTTTAAAAGTGTAATTGCTTTAGTTAGCGCATTTTTCTTCATCAGTGAACGATGTTTAACTTCGCTACATTCCAGTCCCAAACGTGTGTTCCGCAGCAGGTGTGTAAAAGCAAGCGACGATTCGAAGCAAAATTACAATCGAAAGGAATATAGAGTGTGTTCAAGGCTCGCCAGCATTCCGGTGACGCTTATATATTGACAATATGCCAGTCCTGTCACTATATGAAAATGACCCCGTCGTACATGAGCGGATAAAAGCATTTAAAACGTAGATAATAAAGTCCCTGGGCTATGAAAGGTGTCTCTTCGTGTTGTTTTCTCTGCCGGGCAGCTTTTATCGGGCACTTGCTCTCAAAGATTTCGAGCGTGCGGGTGATATTTTAAGCGCACAACAAGCAGCTTCGCTCAGAGCAGAAAGCATAAAGCGGTACTTACTTATTTAAAATCGGAATAGATTGCGTGGCCTTCAAGTTATTTTGATCGTACAGGCACGTGTAGTTACTGATTCAGTGTAACTGCGTAGTTCTTGCCGTCTTTCTTAATTTCCAGATGTTCTTCGTTCGTTTGGCACGTATATCCCCCTCGCTGAAAAGCGCCGACGTCGCGTTCGCGCTAACAGTGTCCAACAGTGCACATAAATACACGTACGAAGCCGTTTTAGCACCGTTTTTAATGCGATGAATTTGAAAGAAAAACGCCGTAACTGACCAATTATTTCGTCAGCCTGAGTGAGAAATGTTCCAAGCTACCTAGTACGTACGAATTATTTGGGATATTTGCTCTTATGATCGAGCGCAGAAAGAAAATGCACTCACTTTTTCCCATAGAAATGCATTACCGGAAGTCAATTTTGGACTGGTTGCTGTCTGCTTCAATTTGCGTCAGCACACTAGCGCCAGTTGAACCTCTAGCGTACATTATAATAACTCTATGGTTGGGACCTCTTCTTTTTCTTTTTTTTTGCGACGTAGAATTTAATTTAAATCGAAAGGAATCTGACATTTCGTGGAAGGGGATAGTTAATGTGTGTGTGTGTGTGTGTTTAAATTATGCCAATTATGTACCACGTTAAATAGAATGTTTCGCGTATCGTTTTTTTTTTTCTACTTTGGAATTAAATTTAATTTGGAATCGAGTCATAAATTTATGCCTTATGGGTAAACGCAAACGAGTAAATGGTGGAATAAAAAAAAACAAAAAAAACACGTTTATCCAGGTGGTTTCTTTCTGAGCTTCAAACTAACAGCAACAATAGTTTGAAGGTATAAGGAAATCTTCCTATGCACAATTTCCACCAGCAAATGTAAATTTGTTGAAAGTTTGTTTGCCCCCAGGAAATTAGCGTACAGGTTTGAGCTCAATTAAATAGCTTGTTATTCACTTGAGTATACGGGGTGACTTTCTTTTTTTGTCTTTTTTTGCTGCACCAAAGTTTTAAATAGAGGGGGGGGGGGGGGAGTTTTCATAATGCGGTTTTTACTGCTTATATAGCTCGGTGGACATTAGATGGGGATATAGCCATCACTAATATCAAACTAATTAACTAAAATGTGTTAATTTACTTTTTAATAACTCTAATTAGGATATATGTTTATATCACAAACTTTGAGGCGCTCGTATGCCAAGACTGTTTTCATTTTGTGGAATTCGCGTAACCAGCCCGTGTTCCGCGATATTGGTCCCCGAATGTTTCACTTTTATCCGGCTAATGTAGCAAAGTTGGGCTATAGTGCCCACTTATCGCGGGTTTTTCGGATTGAGTGAAAAAAAGTCTGATTAAGTAGAAAATTCCGGGGCAGGTATATCTCGGAACACGGTCGGGTTACGTGAATTCTACAAAATGGAAACAGTCTTAGCATACAAGCGCCTCAAAGTTTGTAATATAAACATATATCCTAATTACAGCAATAAATATTAATTAACGAAGTTTGGTTAATTAGTCTGATAATAGTGATGGTTATATTCCCGCCTAATGTCCGCCGACTCTTTATTTTACATTTTTATTTATTTCAAAATACTGTAACCTTAAGGGTGGTCTTTGCAGGAGTGGAAAAGAATACACACATTGCATGTCATTGCAACACAAAAAATTGTTTGAAATACGCACCTTATCGAAAAACATTACCAACGGTTAAAAATGGGCAATCAAAACAACAGCACATACCAACAATAGCATAGTGCACTTCTAATATAAATTCCCCAAGTTGTTTCAAGTATCGACGGTCTGCGGGAAAAAGAAAAGGAATATTTAAAACGATAGAGGTGACATGTTTACGGTACAATATTTCGAGGATTAAAGGTACGAGTTCTTGATTGAGTAATAAAATCAATATACTTTTCACGAATGACTACACTGTACACAGTTATTCAAGATTTTGTGTAGCAGGTTTAGTTATTTTACAACACGTCTCGAACCTAAGGCTTGAAGTCCAATGTCTGGCATTGACGATGTAGGAGAAAATGTACGATTATATCGATTAAAAAATCAATCTGGTTAACTTGTATACCGTCAAGGACCACAAAACCATATTATAAGATCGGGCTAATTAGGATCTCGCACGCGGTTGTGCCTGTCCCATTTAAGACGGAGTAAATAAAATTCCCAAAGACTTATATTCACACACCTGGCGCAGAATTGCAGCACCTGTACCATAACTAAAAACAGACGGTGTCTTTCTTCTTAGTGAACGTCATTAATACAGATTTTGCAAAGTTAATTTCCATCTGCCATTTTGACTCCAATTTAGAAATGACAAAAATGAGTAATTTAGCATGACATGATCATCTACGGAACTGATTTCGCTGCATAAAACGCAATCATCAGCATAAAGGCGAATCTGTAGAAGAATATGGTCAACGATGTCATTAATAGAAAGCAAAAACAAAAGTGGTCCTAAAACCGAACCCTGCGGGACACCTGAAACAACCGAGACGTTGTTAGAATAAACCGCCTTCATAGACACGCTGAGATCTATCTCTTAGGTAATCAGCAATCCAATTAATTAGTGATCCGTTTTTTTTTTAATATCATTTGCAGTTTTTGAACAAGTTTAGAATGTGGCTCTTTATCGAAAGCCTTTGAATAGTCAACAAAGATTTCATTTATTTGCCTTCTTTTGTTTAAGGCAAAAGCAATGTCGTGGGTGGGTACTAGTTGTCGGGTAGAGTTAGGGTAGCCAGGACGAAAGCCACAGTGATTTCCCTGCACACCCCCTAGGAAGTGGGTGCACACCCCCCTCCCCCCCTTGTTTCTTCTGAAGGCACCCCCTTAATTCGCAACGACTCCTCTATTCTCAATGCCCCCCCCCCCTTAACGCCCCCCGCGCCCCCCCCCCCCCCTCTAAAAATTTAGACCCCCCCCCCCCCCTAATTTCAATTCCCGGGGAAACCCCTGAAAAGCCATGTTGTTGGGGGCAAAGAATTGAATTAGCCTCGAGGAACTCAGATATATGTTCATTGAAGAAGCTTGCAAGATCATGGTGCCAAGGAAATGGGTCTAAAGTTAGTAACCACTCGCTTAATATCGGATTTAAATAGTGGAATAATTTTAACTAACTTCAAAGATTACAGATAAGTTCTTTAAAGTCGAAAGTGAAAAAAAAAAAAAAAAAAAAAGACTTGGGGATTCCGTCAGAGCCAGGATTCTTCTTACAATCGAGCTTCAGGAGTAGATTGAGAACACCAGATGCACTAATGTTGACATCCGATAAAGCCGAACATGCACCGTCAAAGCAGAAATATGGAACGTAATCATTATCGCAACTAAATGCCGATTTAAAGTATTCGTTAAAACGGTTAGCAATCACTGCTGGTTCACTAACAGAATCATCTCGAGTAATAAAGCTTTGCGACCCATTGGATTTTGGGAGCACAAACCTCCAGATTTTGGCAGGGTGTGATTCCATATATTGAGACAGTTAAGTTAAAAGATAACATCTTTTCGTTCAAAGTGGTCTTTATACCCTCAAACAAAGCGTCATCAGCCGAGGCTACATCGCGTTTCGTAGAACGTCTGCTTTTTGTTTTCCGCATCAACTGCAATACCTCTCTCGTAATCCAGCGGTGCGAAAGTTTTCAAGGTACAAAATTGATAATAAATTTGTCTAAAAGAAAGTTGAAATAACTAATCAGCGCATCAACAACTGCGTCTGTACTCATAGAACAAAAGTTATCAAAACAAAAACCAAGTTAATCAATTATAGCTACATCGTCAGCCCTGTTGAAATCAAAGACCGTGACGATTTCAGGGTTCACATGGTTGACACGAAGTTCGAGGGTAACTGAAACTGCTTTGTGACATATAAACACGTAGTGAAAACCGCGGAGCGCAAGTTCGTCTGCCTCTTGCACAAGGGTTGCGATGATGTCAAAACGCCACGCTCTCATTGATTAATAATAATAATAATAATAATAATAATAATAAAGTAGACTTTAAGGTATCTAGCATTGAGGAGTACCCACTATATCTTTCAATCAAAGCCAATTAGAACTCGGCATCGTTCTGACGTCACCCTAACTCCTCCGCAAGAAGCAGACGACTTGCTCTCCGCAATGCAGGGTGTCCCTCAACAAGATTCTAAGGGTCATTTTCACCGCAAAAATAATTTAAGCATCGTCGAATGCTCGTTCTCTGCCCAATAGCTTTTCGGATCCAATGCCAAAGTGTCAGAACTAACCGTTATCGTGATTTTCTCCATTTTTTTTTTCATGGGAAAATGGCGGCCGACGAAGCTCATATGTCCTGAACGGCGCCAGTTATCGAAAACGGATCCCATTTTCCCATTAAGATTTCCAGAAAATCAGTCAAAACATTTGATTAAGTTAACGCCGGTTCAGAAATTTGGCATCTGGTTCGGACCCTATAATTTATTTTTGCGAAAAAAAAAACAAAAAAAAAAAACACATTGAACTTTTGTTTTTTCGTTTTACATTACATGGACCACAGTGGACAGCTATAAAGTCTAGACGTTACCTCGATGTGGAACGGCAGCAATGCACGCGCGGGGCACGTGTAGCCCCGTGATATGTTCACAGCGCTCAGCGCTGGATAAGCTGTGATGGCTCGTACATTTCACTGCAATTCACTGTCACACAAGGAGAGGAAATGCCCATCACACTCACACATACGCATTTGCTATTTTTCGTAAAAATTTGAATATAAAAACAAACATATTATGAAAAAAAAAAAAGAAAAAAAAAAAAGACGTGATTTAATGTTTAAGTTTGGTTTGGCTCGGATCTACATAAGTACTTAAGCGACCAAACAATACATATTGTAGGCCTTCATTAAATTCATACTGCCGAGGCTTCGTGGGTTTGAATGAACGGTCCTAGTAGCAGCCCAAACAGCACAAACGAGACGTTAGGGATAATACGGGGTAATAGGGATAAATCAGTGCTACTAGGGATAAAAATGCCGAAGAGGTAAAATCAGTGTCCCTAGATTGGCCCATAGGGAACGTGGTGCCCAGCAGGCTGGTCGCGCCCTCTAGAAACGGCAGAAACAACTTCGACAAACAAATTTCTCCGAATTTTTACGAAAAAGTATGATTAAAATAATAATTATAAAAACGGTTTTTCGCAATGCAGAAACCACCTGTTTACAATTTGTTTTGTGAATTTTGTTAACATATTAACATGTTTGCGTGCAGAGTCAACAAAACATAGGTGACGCAGGCTACCACACTATTCGCTCACACAAGTACACTTTTTCAGCGAAAAATGGAAAACGTGTAACAGCTGAGAACGATCGCGAATCTATCCAACATAACCTAATTTTTTGTTCTGGTTTCTCACGGCAAATCTGTCGGCAGCTCTTTCCCAAATTCTGTCTGTTATGTAAATTATCGGCAACACAGAAAACATGGCTCTTCTGGGCGGCGAAATGAACAACTCCTCGAGCGTAAGTTTGACCCCCGGTAGAGATAAGATACCGGTTTTGAAACATTGCCAGCGTATCGTGCAATGCTCTCTATGAATCAAGCCGTCCGTACCAAAGGTGTTACGTAAACATGCTAACTCCCCGCCGCATGCTCTCAATTCTTTCCCGAACGTTGTATTGAAAGATTGTATGTACGTAGGAGTGGAAATTGAGGACACGTTAGCGTACAGAACTGCCGTAAAGAGGACGCCAAATAACAGCTGCGGGCGTTCGCAGCTGCACGTCAAACGGTACGTCACTCGGCGCAGTACCTGAATTTTCACTTGTATGTTTTCATTTTCGTACAAGTTTATGGTTTGGTAAACTTTTTGTGTCAAAACCAATCCGCTGAAGTTCTCTCTATATGTTCGCATTTTGTTCGAAAGCTTTATCTCCCAAGCATGACGTCTTCCACAATTCGAGTTGTTTTGGATGTCCTACCGTTTCCGAACGATCGATTCGGTCTCGATCGGTATGGTGCAATCACTGCGCATGCGCGATGCTGAAAAACAGCAGGTGCGCAGCGTCCCGTTACGCGATTCTACAGGCAGTGAAGTCGCACCGATTTTTCGGTTTTTTTCAACTTTTCTAGGCAGTTATACCTGTGCAAATGAGCGGTAAAACACAAGCCATGCTCGAACTAATCTTCTTATCTTAAGCGGGAGATATGCGATAAAGGCTTTTGTTTCTAGGTCGTGCTTATCAGGGGTATTCCCCATTCCGCACTTCGTTCCGTCATCGAAAATTAATCTCTCAGATCCAGGAGTCCACAAGGGGCCCAACAATCCGCATCTTTTTCCGGATATGTGCTGCCACCTATACTCCATTCACGCCTAAGCTTAGACAACAGTGGAAGCTACGTCCTCGTTGGAACGGTTGTACGCCTTTCTTTCGCCACGTCGTCATTCTCCTGGCCATTCCCACTTGCTGAGAGCCGGGTCAGGTGATAAGAGGAGGCGGCTGATTTGTGCGGTGGGCGTGTAGGTCCCACCGTAGTCTCAGCTTAGGGGTGAACAGAGTATAGACACGAAGTTGAGGCTGTTCGACACCCAAAATGTCAGCTACATCCTGTATGCCCATTGAGCCGCACCTACTAGGTACCTCCCCCAAACTTCACCTTTGTCCTCATCGTGGGTTATCTTAGACTCTGAAGTTGATACAAAGGAACCATCTCTGCTCGGCCGGAAGGAAAAAAGAGAGGGCACTAGATTTACTTTCAAACTGATATTTCTGCACAAAAGGTTCATTGCCTTAGCTTTTTGACAGAATCAAACTTCTGCTTTGAATTGTATGATTGAATGTCTATTTTCTATTAAAGGAGTATTCAATGAAATGATTGCTTTTAGACTGTTTAGGTATTGAAGTGTACAACTCTCATTACATCCTTCACTATCTACACAGTCACCCTCTATCATTCCAGATAACTGGTAAGGTAGTATATCCATTCATATACTAGGGTACATTTGTGCAAGGAAGGAACAGTGTGGTAGCTGTGCTACCGACTTGTTTTGCGACATTTTTACTGTGTCCTGGAACAAAATTAAAGAAAATTGAGGGCGCAGATGAGCTGGTGAATATTAGGCAACATAATAAAGCCGGAGACATGAAACAAAAGGAGGTACACAACAGAAGGTGTTATGTACATCCTTTTTGTTTCCATGTTTCTAGTTTTATTATGTTTCCTGGAACAAGTTGCTTCTGTGAAATCTTCTAGGCGCTCATGGAGGGCACGGAGGATGCTGCCACCATCGACTTTGGGGAAATCGAAGGAGGTCTTCACAAGAAATCTATAAGGTATGGTGCTCTATAGATGTCCAGAACTTTGATCGGAGCGAGGTAGCAGGCCAGTTTAAAATTTATGGGGTGGAATAGATGGAGAAAGAGGAGTAACATCTTTATTCTTTTTTTTTTTTTTTAAGAAAGAACTGTTTTGGAGCATGTTTAAGGACTCTTTGTGTCGACAAGACTTTCCCTGCAGAAGCTCAGTTCGGAAACCTGATTTTGAGGAACGTTACTCTGTTTTGAAAGAGATTTACACACATTTATGAATTTTTGGTTGTACGTTAATACACAGATCAATTGCTATCAATGAAGATCATTTTTTTTTTTGGAAGCTTTGCCTCGAAGAACTGTAAGGAGTTTCAGTCCTCGTGGCTTGTTGTTTGAAGCACTGCCCCTTGCTCAGCTCTGTTTTAATTAGGCGCATTTTGCCCAGAAGCACTTTTCTCTGGAGCATTTGGAGCCACCAACAGAGCTCATGGCTGTCTTCTATAGTGCTCCAGAAGCGTTATGGTCTCGACGCATGTCCCGACAGGCACCCTGTCGCCGTGTTCTTCCATCTGGCCTTCCGGACGTTGGCGCTCTTGGTCTACCTGCTGTGCCGCTTCTTCACGGACAGCTTCATCTCGAGCTTCGTCTGCATCCTCCTCCTCCTCTCTATGGACTTTTGGACGGTCAAAAACGTCACGGGACGACTGCTCGTCGGGCTCCGGTGGTGGAACTACGTCGACGACGTCGGCAAGAGCCACTGGGTCTTCGAGAGCAGAAAGGTAGTATTGTTGTCCTCTATTCTTGGAAACTCTACGAGAATCGGAGCACCACTTCTACCGTTGCTCATCAACCTTCCTGGTTCATTTTGATAGGGAAGGTGGGTGATATCATGCTGGAGTGAATGCAAGACGTTCATGTTAAAACTTGATCCTTAAAATCACAAAAGGAGAGCGAACAGATTAGGGGGTTTCTCTCCTCACTGTTCTTGCGTCTTTTTGAAATATAGGTGAAATCGCTAGATTATCCAAGTACCAAGGAGGATGCTGGGAATGTAGGTACATGCATTGTATGTGCTTGCCTTGCCTTTATAAAAGATTAGCAAGAAATAGCCAAAATAAGGCATTTCTGGACGCATCTGCAAAGTCCCATTTGCTTTTTTATTTTGTTTAGAAAAGTTACTGCTGGATACGACCATACGTGTAGTGCATGCAACTATTCACGCGTGATGGGCTCACTGATGCTTGAATAATTTAGCAAAAGGTCTTTTGAGCAGTCACATTGAATGAGTCGTCTAGGATGGCATTTTCAAAGAGACTAGAGTTGTGTTTGAGGCAGCTTCATCTAGGTGGCATAATTAATTTTTATGGGTAGTGAAGGATGGTTAATAAAGGTAAGTAAAGATACTATGATGCAGTGCGACACAGCAAAACATCTCAATTAAAGCAACAATTAGATGTAGTGAATTTAACTGCTAGAGCCACCGAATAATCCCCAGTCTGCCCAGACTGATAAACAGAACTAATTGAGCATTCGGATTTGCTGATGCTGGCCATCTCAAAACCAGAAGAAAAAAAAAGAAAAAAAAAAAAAAGACATACACAGAACATGTACGGTGGAGCTCTGAACAGCCAGTGTAGCCAATGCAGTTGTAGCGTCGCAACACGGTTCTGAGACAAGGCTTGGGAGCTTCGGTACCCCGGGAACATTAAGTTAATTGGCTCGAGATAGAGTCGCCGAATACGCCTCAGTGAACTGATACTCCATTCTCCCATTGTCTGTGGGTGCTGCCATTGCATTGCTCAGTGCAGACCAGGCACAGTCGTCGACAATTCGAAAGTGCGACTTTCTCAACTTTAGATACAATGTCGGGAAGCTGAGGCAAAGTCGTTTCGCTCTGTAGCGGACTGTTTGACCATTTCTAGGGGACGGAAAGGCGTTTCCTGCATTTTGGAAACGAAGCTTCAAGTAACTGGCAGCAATGGGTTTAAGAAACAAGTGGCAGAAGTGTCGCCACTCTGACGCGTAGTGCGTCTAGTGGCTCTAGCTCTAGCCGCTACGTGCGGCCACCGATTCAGGCCGGTCCCGTAGTTCCGACGAGATTGACGCCAGCTTCTTCCCCGTAAGTTGCGCGTCCATTCTTGCGTCATTCTCACGGGGAGACCGTCTCGATTTCCCAGGAAGGGGACCCTACTTCGGACGCCTCGGAGTCAAGCATCTTCTGGATGGCGCTGATTGCCGCTCCGGCGCTCTGGACCCTCTTCCTCTTCATCTCCCTCTTCGGATGGAGCTTTCAGTGGCTGGTGAGTCGACGCCGCGTTTTTGAGCGGCTCGTGGTGCTAGGGGTGCCCGCACTCGAAGAATGGAGAAACAAGGCTATTTTTTCGAACAACGCGCACAATAGCGACACTTGGTAAGAAGGATAGATGTCGCCTTTCCAACTGCGGCTCAGCCTAATTGAATGGAGTGGGTATCTTCGATGACTGTGCGCAGATGATCACATTGATTGCCATCAGCCTGAATGGAGCCAACCTGTATGGGTACATCCGCTGCCGGCTCGGAAAGAAGAGGTCCATCACGTCCGCTGCCTCAAACTTCTTTGGGCAGCAACTTCTCAAAGGGGTCAGTGGTTTCTCTTTTCTTTTTTTTTACAGCGGAGCTGTTAAGGGCTAGTTTCCCCAGTATCGTGTCCGGGGGCAAACAAATTTCGACACAAAACTCTGGACAGCTACTGCCATCTATTAGCGATGGTGGCAACCAGACAACTGGCTTGCTGGTTATCTGGTTGCTGCCGTTGCTCATAGATGGTGGCTACCTTTCCAACTTTTCCACTCTGGCTTGCCGACTTGCAACCGGCCATTACTTCAATCCCACCATGGTGCAGCTTCGCTGGTCTTCCTTTTTTTTTTTTTTACCAGAGTGGAAAGGCTGAAAGTTTTTTTTCACCCTGGTTGTTTAACTAAAGCTGCAAACTGCAGCAAAAAAAACAACAACTAGGACTGCTTGTCAGGGGCCAAATGACACGCAGGAAAACCTCCTTTTTTATGTACGGAGTGCAAAGAAGCTATTCCGATATTTTAATGTTTTTCTAGTGCAGCTCAAGGGCTGTGTACTAGCGTGGTCAGATATGCTTATGTGGGAAGTAACGTTTGGTATTCAACGCAAACACGGAGGAGTAACATGACAAAAAGGACTGATGTTTTGTGTACTAACAATGTTGCACACTCTACTATCATACTTACCATTGTGTGTGCCTACAGTGTAGCTACGGTATAAGCAAAGAAATTACATTGTCCACTCCTGTAGGCACCTACTTATGGGTGAGTCTGCCCTTATCTCATAAATAAAAATGGTTGGGTGTTTTTTTTCTTTTTTGAATTGAGAATTGTTTTTTAGGGTTTGTTTTTTCTCTTTTAGTAGATTCAATGTTTTTCAAATTTGATTTTTGGTGTTGACCAAAAATATCAGTATTTATCGGGGCTTATGCTGAAGAAAATGGTACTCGGGCATGAAATTCCTCTGGGGAATGTATGCTAACAAATTTACCACTCACGCAATCGGCACAATGCTGGCGGTGCAAAAACATGGATGATAAGACCACTGCACGTTTATCATTCCTGTCCTTGCACTCCGAGCTTCGAGCCTGTCACACGAATATAGTAACTTTAGTAAACCATCGTCCTTCAAATCTTTCTAAAAAAGCCTTCGGTGACGCTCGACAAGTTTCTTGTCGGAACCTAATTTCACTAATTAAGAAGTTAGTTAAGGTTCCGGTTAATTATGTGACTTGCCGTGATGATTGTCCCTGTCTGTTATGTCCCCCTGGTCGTGTAACCGACCTGCACAGACCACATTAATGTAGCTTTTTCTATTTTTTTAAAAACAACCTAGAGCCTAAAATAAACACATTGTATGCCAAAAATCTCGGAGCACTGCTTACGAGGGTCTACTCTTATGGGTGTCTACTTTAGTATACCCTCTAATCTCACATGTGGCTACTCCTACGAACGTCTACTCACATAAGCACCTACTCGCATGCAGGCCTTAAATAGTTGTCTCAAGACGCTGCTCGTCTGTTGATCGACTGTCGTTGGAATTGGTGCAGGATAGGAAAGAAAATTCTCGAACGCCTTTTCGGTCCTCTTGCAGATGTTCAAGCGAGACGCTCCTCCAAATCCAAGTGCCGCGGGCCAGCAGTCGTGACCGCCCACGATGGGTCTACGCATTCCATTGGTTCTCTTGTCCTGAAAGTCGGCGTCTAGTCCCGTCTCCTGTACATACTGTTCATGCTCGTAATAAAGTGCCCGCATCTCTGTTAAGTTACAGCTTGTTTACTGTACAGTCTTGTTTCAATAACTAAAAGTGCGACAGTGTGTTAAAATTCTGTCTGTATGTGCTCGGCATGCAGCATCATTAGAGGTACCAGATTTAGCAAACATTTGTTTGCTAAATTAATAATCAGCCTTGCAGAAAATTCCAAAGACTGTGCATGGGTAGTTATCGAATATAATGGCTAGTTATAAGTCGCCCGGGTACTCCATATTTGCTTGAGTACAATCCTGCTGTTTTACATGAAGGTGCGAAACGTGAACTTACAAAAATTTACTCTGAATGTAACAGCTATTGGGAAATTCAAAATATGTGACTTTGTGTAGACTCTGCACTTAAACGTTGATCCTATTACTTGGGTGTGGTGCACATTCCTCTATCAGTGATGGAAGTGGCATTTGACCTTTTGTAGCAGGTTCTGTAGCAGGCCACATATGCGGAGAGCAAGTCGTCTGCTTGTTGCGCAGGAGTTGCGGTGACTTCAGAACAACGCCGAGCTACGATTGGATTTGATTAAAAGGATGGTGGGTAGATCTCCATGGCTAGATGCCTCTAGGTCTACCCACTATTTTTATTTCAATCGGCCAACAAGAGCTCGACGTTCTGACGTCATCGCGATCCCTGTACAAGAACCAGACGACTTGCACTCTATTGGTTTGGAGCAGCCACTGACGCTTTTGGAGCAAATACCAACATGTGTTAGCACATCGCTTGAGAACGAAAGTGTGATTGCATCTTAATGAGTTCATTTATGATAGTGATTGAGGGTTCCTCTTTGATACTCGTGCATATTACTTATTACCATTGATAAGAATAGAGAGGGCATAAAAGGAACAAAGTTAAATAAGGCTTTAGTCAGAGGAGGTCTAATTTACAGTGGGTTCTAAAAATGGTTGAAAAGTGAATCATAGTGCAACACTTCATTAGGATAAATCCTCTCTCCCCTCTCCATTTTACAAGGTAGTTTGTTTAGCCTGCAAATACAATTTCTGTAAAATGCCAGCAAGAACCAGCACATCCACTAACATGTTTATCAATAGAAATGCATCCCGAATGTTTAATGAACCTACCAAACTCAAGACTGATATCATAAACTGTGAAAACAACCACCCAAAAGTATTATAAAAGCCTACAACTGTGCTTTAAAGGTGACACTGCTCTTTAACGGCGTAGGAACCAGAGTTACGTCCAAGTTCGCTGCTCTTTCGATCGACAGCTGCATGGAAACCACCGTGACTACCGTATTTATTCAATTATATATAAACCCGTGTTTTCTTCCCTCTTCCTCTGCTCAGCTTTTTTTTTTAACTAGAGATTAATTTACAATTGGGGCAAAGAGGGTCGACCTGCAATAATCTTGAGCATAATTTGTGACTATTGCACTAAGCCAGGCGCTCCCCCAGGTCAGTCGCTTCTCCTAGCACTTCGGTGCGAAGCAGTGAAGCTCGACGCGCGCGCGCTGGTGAGAGGCAGTGAAGGTCAATGCAAGCATCGTCCTAGGCGTCGTCCTAAAAGTCGACCTCGAGGTCGTCCTTGCAATCATCCTAGACGTTAAAAAGGTGACAGCTTCGCTGGTCCTTAATCTTCAGTGAAGAGGAAGGGCTCTAAATTTTTTTTTGCTTTAAGCCCATCTTGACGTAGGTGTGGCGCAATTCTTAGCAAAAATGGCATTTTGCCACAAGATGTAGCACACTTATATTCGTGGCACGAATGGTGCAGCACTTCCAACACTGCTCTATAGATATGAATGTTTGATTAATGACTTCACTACAAAGCTTCCTTACCCTCCCATACATTTTTTGTAAATGGTCCGGTGCTTGGTCACTTTACCTAGTCACATCAACAGGAATGCCATCGCACACAATTGACAAGGAAATCATTTATCACACACACACATATTTACATTACTGTAATGAAACATTCAAATTTCTCCTATAAAATGTTTCTCTTCTTGAAGTGACAGAAACATCAAGTGGCTGTACTACTGGTACTTCTGCAAGCTCAAAGCACATGTTTTACCTTGCACGTTGAAACGTACCTTACCACCCTGTACACTCCTATGATATAAAAACATAAAACACTGAAATGCAACTCCATAACTACCCAAAGTGGGTGTCTGTCCTTTGGTAGCAAGCTTCATTATGCGCTAAAAATGTGTGCTATTTATCAACTCCAACATATTTGCGGATCACCGTAGCAGCATGATTCTTGGCATATTGCATCTCGCATCTCCAAAGGACAACCCTATCACAGGAACATAATCATCACACAAATACAGATGTTCACAATCATTAAAAAGGACAAGACGGGATGCTTCACTCACTCCCACAGATGAAACTGCCATGTGCTCCTAATTCACAAAATATCTTCGAAGTTGCGCTTCAGCATGACAGGCAAGAACGCAACTATGTTCTGAATGACTATCACAATAGACAGTAAAATGGTGCTATCATGTAAGTACCTGTTTTTGCCAACATTTTGGTCAAGGCAAAACAAAGGATGTCGCACATAAAAATGAAAAATGCATGTTTTGGTATGTACAATGGACACCTTTTTTTTTTTTTTCTTTTTCTTGCGTGGTTGATGTAAATAGATTTACATTAAGCTCGGTTTGAACATATACACCCTGCACATTCTCGCATCACTTTTCACTGCACCAAACTGTTGTGTAACTAAATCATCATGGTGACACTGTCACAAGGTCAGATTCACGTCAGATTGTCGCATCACAGCCGTCACCAGTCCTGTTCAGTCTGCCGTGTCAGGTCAGAGAGGTCCACTTCCACCTCCTTGGGCTTGAAGTAGTCCCAGAGCTTTTGGAATTCTGCAACAAAGGGTTCTACAATGTCCGGATCTGCAGTCAGCAGCAAGTTCTCGTGGTTTCCAGTGATGGCTTGCCGGGTCCAGTTGAACGATCCGCTGAGCAGCACTTCTTCGTCCACCAGTGCAAACTTGTGATGCATCAGGAAGGACGTATGGTGGTTGACCCTCACTTGGATACCTGTACACAAAAGCATAGGTGTTGTTAACTCTGACCCCACTACGGTCATCTTAGAATTGCTCAGCAAGTTATGCTTGTAGTATCGATGTTCTATTTACTGATTGTCTTGTGGGTGCTACCACTTTTTTGCCCAGCACAGAGCAGATGCAACAGTCATGATTAGCAAAGGCAACTTCCTGACCTTTAGATGCAATATTAGAAAGCTAAAGCAATAATGTATTACTTTGTCGAGGACTGTTTTAACATTTGAAAAGGACTAAAAAACGTTTTAAGCCTTAGATAACTGGCAACTACTGTGTCTCCGACTGGTGTGTTTAGTGTCCTGTTCCCCGTCCATGCATCGATGTGGTCCTGAATTAGCAACATATGATGTCAAATAAGCTGGAGGTCATGCTGGTGATATCCCCTACTGCCTGGTGATAGTCACATAATTGCAGAGGGGTACTAAATTGGCTTAGAAGGGTGAAATTAAAATCTTGGTTTTTACTTTCTAGGCTAGGTGGTGCAAGCTACCACCCATTAGCATCTATCCATGAAGTGTCATGCTGTCGATTGAAAGAATCCTGGTGGTTGCACGTAGAAGCTCCGTAAAAAAGCATAAGAGACTGCGAGTGTTGCTGTCGTCGCAGGGTCAACTCCTGGCTGCCAAAGTCTCCGTGGAGTGCCAAGCTGGAGAACGACCTGTTGCAGAACAGGCGTCTGCCACATCTGCCAGCACTATTACTGTCAGATGACGTAATCTGTTCACAAAACGTGACGTCACACCAGGATCAGAAATGCCGGCGGGGTAAGACAACGAAACACGTGTTTGATAGCGCGCCCAGACGACACATTTGAAAGTGCCGCCGGTCACCTGATTGTTACGTCACAGTTCGTGCCCATCTATCCATGTGAACACCTTTACCAGCCTGACGTAGTCGTCCGATCTGGGAACCGGGCATGTCGGATCCTTCTTCGTTGGTGATGACGCGGATTACGCGACCTCGTGTACGGAGACTCAAAATGGCATCGCACAGGGCGTCGCAAGTGATCATGTAGACACAGACGTCTAGAGTCTGCCGAGCAGACGTCAGCGTGTTCGTGAGCGTCCTCAGCGATGTTTTGCCGTGGAGAAAACAGCACTTGGGGTTGCCGCAACTGTCACTGTCGTCGTGCGTCGCCTTGGGGCACGCTACGCCGCGATCCGGAAAGAAGATCACTTGTTGCTTGAAGTTTGCGGCCCAGTTGCTTCGCGGTCTTCGCTTCTTTTTCTGAGCAGTCATGTAGATTTGGTAGGCAACTTCGCTCAGGATTGAGACACCGAACAGCACGGCAAGCACGTCAGAAAGCCGCGACATTTTGAATATGAACGAATGAATGAATTAAAAATATGAGGTGACAACAACGGTACACGAAACCACAACCATAACAACGAGGAACTTGGATTGGATTAGATATCTCAATTTCTCTTCAGCCAAACACAGTGTTGCCATTCGGAAAGCGCGACCTGACCAAACTTGTCACTTTTAAAATGTATTCAGAAATATTGGGGTTAAATTTCCACTACCTTTAGCCTGAAACGTCCTTGAAAGAGTAAACAAATCGGTGCATCAATGTTCATGTGCAAAAGAAAAAAAAATCAAAATAAAGAATATGTTTGTTTTAGGCTAGGTGGTGCAAGTTACCGCCGCTATAAAGGGTGTGCAACTGTTAACATCCACTTATTTGTAGTCACGTGAGTAAACAGAGCACCGCCGCACCGCCACCAAGCACAGCTGATTTTCCGGTCTGCAGTGGGTGCAGTGGGCTGTGCATGTACCATGGCGGCAAGTATCGTAGACGATTTAATTTCGGTTCGAAGTCACCGGCGGCTCAACCTTCACGAACTCATCGATAACTTGCCGAAGCAGCTTACCAAAGATGTGCTTCACCAGTTGCGGGCAGCCGTCGCGGATTGTGACCCCGAGCGGTGAGCGCTTGTTTTCGTAGGATGGTGTTTCGGGTCGTGCGATTCGAACCTCATAAATACGTCTATAATGATTCGTATCTACAAACTTACAGATACAGGGTATAGAGATCATGCGTGCTCTTCCAGAAAATGCCAGTCGACAACTTCAGCTGATGACAGAGGCGTCAGAAAACAAATATTTGTCGTATGTGTGCAACCCATCCTTGCGGTGCTGGGTGAAACGAAACCAAGTTGTGATTGGGACATTTTTGGAGGTGTCACGGGCTGTAGCAGTGATAAGAGGAATTGGCAATGTTTTTTAAAAGTTTGGGAGATAGTGATTATTTGAAAATGTTGACATCTATAGATATTTAATCATAAACAATCTACAGAAGTCACTCTAGTCGGCTTAAAATTATGACAAAGGAAAGAAACTTCCATCCAATCCCTCACACTTGGGGATCGGCTGGAAGTTGCTTTCTTGTGTAAATACATGTGTAAGGAAAGGCCACAATGGATTGTTTGATCTATATTCAGAATTCCTCAGAATGAGGGAGCGGTGAGCAGCCTTCTTGCGGTGGTGTTGGATGACAAGGCACTTCCACTCTGCAAGCATCTGGCCTTGTCCATTCTGGAGGGAATCTGTCCGCAGTACGGCCTGGAAGAGATGTTGGTGGACCTTCCTATAGCACAGCTGGCACTGTTTTTGAACCTCCTGTTGGTGCAGGTGCAGTGCATTTTTTTGTTAACTTATTTGCACTTACCCAATTTCTGGTTGAGTAAAGCTATATGCACGCCGGAGTGCGCTTCGGACGGAAATGGCTATACGCACTCCGCTTTTCTCACATAAAAAGAGTGGACACAACGAGTTTTCTAAGCGGGTCTGCCCCATTCTGGTAGAGGTATACCAAGATATCTTTCAGCGAAAGCTTCTCCCTCCGTCCATGAGGGAAAGTCTTACGGTGCTCATCCCGAAAAAGGCAGGCAACAGCTCCGACCCAGCAGTGACGGACTACAGGCCCATCAGTCTTCTCTGTGTGGACTACAAAATTCTTGCCAAAATTTTGGCGAGAAGGTTGGATCTTGGACTTCGGTGCGTGGTGGGCGACCATCAAGCTTACGGTCTACGGGGGCGTTCCATAGCGCGAAACCTCCACGCCATGCGTATCGTCAGGGAGGCAAGTGGTGAGGGACACCAGCCTTTGGCGGTCCTTCAACTCGACATGAGCCAAGCCTTTGACCGGGTGTCCCACGAGTTCCTAAGGGCTGTGCTGAAGAAATGTGAGGTCGGGGACGGAATGTTGGACTGGGTGGGCCTCTGCTACCGAGACATATCGACGAGACTTCTCGTCAATGGCGATAAAGGGCGCTCAATACCGATAGGCCGCTCAGTGCGACAGGGCTGCCCGCTCTCTCCCATACTCTTCGCCCTACAACTGGAGCCCCTCTGCCGGGCCATCATCCGAGACACAACCATACAAGGACTGCAGATGGGCGATCAACACGTGAAGCTCCTGGCTTACGCCGATGATGTGGCTTTGATTTGCACCTCCAAGGCTCAGGTCGAGGCTGCTCTGCAGCACGTCGCGGTGTTCTCCCACTGGAGCAGAGGTCAACCGGCGGAAGTCCATCGGTGCTTGGCTGGGGGATTGGGCCACAACGCCCACAATCTTCGCAGACATAGAATGGAGAACAACGGTTGATAGCTACCTGGGAGCGCCGATTGGAGAACGTGGGCCCACGGTGGAAAAGTGGCGGCAGAAGACCAACGCCATTCAGGCGAAGCTGTCCCCGTGGCTCGGCAGGCGGTTATCGCTCTTTAATAGAGCGTACGTCTGCAACTCTACTTCATATCCAGCGGTACTCTACTGGGCACAAGCTGCCGTGTGTCCCGAGTCAACTGCCAATCGTATTCACCGAAGCTGGGCGAGCTTTATCTGGAGGTCGACGATGGAGAGGACGCGGCGCAGCAACCTCTTCCTCAGTTTAGCGGCCGGAGGTCTGGGCCTCGTGAACGTGGTGCTGAAGCTCCACGTGCAGCGCTTCCTTCTCTTCAGAGACAGGCGGGACCCCCTCTTTTTAAGTGCCCTACATTACCTCGGCTACCCATACCTCGGCAGATGGATGGTCAGTACCACAGGTCGCACCACCAGGGGAGCGGGTCTGCGGTTCTACGCAGAAATCGCCGCCTCAGTGGAGTTCTTCCTGGTCCACTTCTCTTGGGAATACCTACTTGCTGCCAGCCGCAAGATGCTGTACTGGGACACACTCACCATCGTGCTCCCAGTTCCCCTCTACAGAATGGAGACGGTTCCCCTTTGCGCAGCCGGGCTCTTCAAGCGGGTGCGGAGGTTCCCTGTCCCGGCATCCACTAAGGACTTCTTCGTCCGACTCCACCTCGAGGTGCTGCTTGTGAAGGTGTGGTTGGCCGCGAGGGGTGTTTTCGTCCCCTGGTCTACAAACTGCGACCTGTGTGGCACGAGTGAGACGATACAGCACGTCTTCGTCGAGTGCTCAAATGCGTATCTCTTCTGGGACGAACTCAGGGTGGCATTTGGGCAGCATTTTGAAATTGAGTGGCCAGTCTTTAAGTATTTGAACCTCGGAGGTACCAACAATTCGGACGTAGCCCCGGCAATTGTCCTGCTGGGTCTGCAGTCGCTTTGGTTGGCGCATACTGCCATGGTGGAATGTCACACCGACGCCAGGCCGACGTGGGACTACTTCACGTCAAGGCTGAGATGGCTCCTCTCCATTGCCGCGGGGGAGGAATATCACGAAGGAAAGGAATGGCAGCACATAAAAAATAGACTGGAGGCAAAACGACTGAAGGACCAGCGCGCCTGGCAACGGAGGGACAGGAGCGGGGCTAACTAGGGTGCCCACACTTCGTGGCCCGTTCGGGGGCTGGCTGCGGCCAGGCAACGAGATTCTTAAAAGCGGAAAAAAAGGGGAAGGGAAGGGAAAAGGGGAAAAAACAACTTTTATTTTATTATTAGTCTGTTAACCGGGACTGACTGTTTGACTGACTGTTTTGTGTTATCTTGTGGTCTGTAAACCAGGACTGACTTTTTCCTCCTCTTTTTTTTCCTCTTTATCTTGATAATAGAATGACTAAACATATGAAAGTGTCCACTCATGTTACGTGTAACTGCAATATGTAAATAAACTTGTTTTTGTTGGAAAAAAAAAAAAAAAAAAAAAGGTGCCATGGCTTAGGGGTTAGGGTGTCCGCTTCATACGCAAGTGGACGCGGGTTCGATCCGCGGTGGGCCTACTTTTTTTTTTTTTTTTTTTTTCTCAAACATTTTGTTTTGTCGAGGCATTTGGCGATATTTACGACATTTCCTTTTTTGCGATGGACAGTAAAAAAAAAAAAAAAAAATTCGAATGTTGTTGAGAAACTTCGCAGAACTAAATGGTATCGGACTCCCTTTCCGGAGGTGCGATCGGGGACAGTGGGGCTTGGATTGCCGGCTGGACGCCGCGAAGCGGCGTGTACTGGTTACGCTTTGTAATTAGCAGCCGATACTGTCGCCGCGAAGCGGCGTGAACGCAGGCGGGGGGCTGTGTTAACGAGCGCCCCAGTCATTCACGCGCCGTTCGAAAAGGGTGGCCCGAGCGGCATGATCTCTCGGAGGAGTGCGTATAGCCATTTCCGCGCGAAGCGCACTCCGGAGTGCGTATAGCTTTACTCTTTCTGGTTACCTGCTCTTTCAATTGTGAAGCACATGACATGATAGAAATAACAGCTACGAAAATCGAGGACAGCGAAAGGAACACTTGCAACAGGACAACTGTACTTGCAACTAAAATTTATTACTTAAAAAGGAAAGAAAAAAAAAATCCTGTCACAAGTGTACTTTTCTTTGTCCTAATTTTTTGTAGCAGTTATTGCTGTCATGTTAAGCTATTAGCAACTCGCCCACTTCAACACTCTCATCAAGCATTTACCTCCATTTATATGAGCAGCTTAATGCAAATTATAGTATTGTAAGGAAATAATTAAAAGCATTTAAACATTTACTTTTCAGGGCACTGACAGTCTTCACTTCAGGGCCATCCTGAACAAACTTTTGAGGTATGACTGTCCTTCTACTTATTTATATCCTATGGTGATCCCTTTTATAGACAAGATTTCTGGTTTGAGACTAGTACCAACAAATGCCTATAAAGCTGCACAAATTACATTTTATTCGGGCACTGCTGTTAGATAGTATGGAAAGTTCAATTGACCATTTGCAATTTATATTTATTTGCAGTTATCGTAGTCCATGTTTGAACTCTTCAGTTCAGTTGATAGTAGCATGCACTGGTTGTGGTCAAACTTTGCTCAACTCATAGACACAATCAGATAGATGTAAGTAGTGGAACCAATCAAATGAAGGTAATCTTATCTTCTCTTTTTATGTTTCACTGAACTTTCTATTTCTAGTGCTCTAGAAGACAGTTCTGTCGGTTGTGACTGCAAGCGGGAGGTCTTGCTGTACCTGACACAGGTGATCGAAGCAGACGAAAGTTTGTTTTCATTGGGTGAGTCTTTGTAGATCCACAATCTTTGATGGCTCAGCGGTCTTAAAGGGATCATGAAGGCAGTATCGAAGTTTTATTCGACGATTGAAATGGATGTCGGGCACGTCTCAGATACTGTTGACCAAGTTCTAGCCCGAACAGAAGTTTGGGTGCCGCACCAATCGAGCAAACAGGCGCAGTAATAATAGCGCCGGGAACGATGCCTGAGACCCCACCGAGGCGGTGGCAGAAAGGTGAACTAAAGTGCGCCGTCGAAGCGTGACGACAACGGGCTCCTCGTCTGGCGATTGGTTCAAACGATAGACGCGCTCTTGGTTTCAATTTCGGTGGTGAGATGTGATGAAAAAGTTTTATTTGAACGTTGGATAATCTTTTGAAGTTGTAGTTGGGAAATAATAGGTTTCATACCGTGTATAAAAGCATAATCTGAAGCGATCCCTCCGTTTGTCACTGGTTGAACGCATCCCGCACTGCTACCTCGGGCGCGTAACAAGCATTGAGCAACCATGGACAAAAAAAAAAAAAAGAAAAAGGTACGAGCGCTGGGGGCGGCGGACTTTTGGTTTTGGTTTCGTGCGTCGCCTCGTGTTCGCTTTGCGAACTGGTGTCTCTCCAATCATGCCGCATTTATGTGCAGTAGTAGGTTGCGCAAAAGGTCGGCTAAAGACGTGCGGTCGATCGGGCGACGGCGAGTGGGGCGGGGAGTCGCTCTGAGGCGGCGACCGAGTAGTTGGTGGTAGGTCTGGGGCGCCCTCGTAAAGCGCCAATCCAAAGTTCTGCGTCCTTAGCAGCATCTCCCGTTCAGTCGGCGTGAGGTCGCTGAACGGGAGCTCAAACTCGTTTGCGAGCGCGGCGTTGTCGTCCATTAAATTTCTTCCAGGTTTTCTTCACAGACTGCCGTGCACTAGAGCGAACCACGGGAACCACACTGAGTGCGCACTAAATCCTACCGATGCCGACAGTGCTCCCTGACGTCACTTCTCTTTCCAGAGGCGAAAAAGGGAAGAAATCTGAATGTTTGTTTCGGTTTCGCAAATTTATTTGCAGGTACAGAAATAAGAGTCACAACGTTCTAGATAAAATTGTGTGGCATGCCAGGACCCCAATGCTTCCGAAAACACCTTCTTTTTAAAAAAACAAATTCAATTGCCTTCATGGTCCCTTTAACTTTGTATTATTCCTTACCTATAGCTTGTTGCAGGTTGAGAAAAGAGAGACAGGCATGTCCCATAAAACCCTTTACTCTTTCAACTTTAGCAGAGCGAGCGCTGGGAAGACAGCGAGTGGAGAGGAGGAACATGCCAATCATGACAAGTAGAATGCCTTGCGAGGTAGGCTTGTCCTGCCTTACTCAGCCTGCAACAGTTTATAATACCTTTCGTTTTGAGGCTTTCTGCAGTCTAGACCTGCTGCTTTCTTTTCGTAACTGCGAGGATGGTAGAGGCGAAATAGAAAAGAGGACGTGGTTTTCTGCAATCTATGCTTCGAGAGGGAAGGGAATATTTTACTTTTGCCTTGTCTCGGCTTGATGTAGTATGGAGCCATTCACCAACTTGCCTGCGTTTTCATTTTTTCAAGGGTTGAAAGTTTTAGGGGTGAATGAGTGAGAGAAGGAACAAAGCAAGAATGGAAAGTTTGTCACCTGACAATGAACACCTTTCAAAAGTCTCTCTAGCAACCTTTTTCAGAGTCGAGCTTGGCACGGTCATTGCTGCATAGAAAGACTGATGTTGAATTTGAATGTCTGTGTAAGCATATAGAAGGGGCAGCGGAAGGTACAGTCGTGCGGAAATACTAAATAACTGCATGCGAGCGGGTATTTTTTCTGAGGAGCGCTTGACTGGTGGCTTTTGTTCGAACTAGCGCTGACGTCAAGACTTGTCCATCTGGAGCAGATGGGGGGAGCCCATCAACGCAAACTGCCATTATCATTTGTCGTTTCTAGAATCTTCTCCCCCTTTCAATCAGAGTGCAGTGACACAGGTGCAGGTGATAACGGCAGTTAGCGTTGCGATGGACGAGTCCTGACGACAATGCTAGTTCGGACGTAAGCCACCAGTCAAGAGCTCCTCAGAAAAAAATGTCCACTCACGTAGAGCTATGTGGTATCTGCATGACCATACATTTCTGTAAGGGTATATAAGCACCACTTCCGACTCGTGAAGTTCAGACTGCAGGATTCTGGGGAAGTACTAATGCCTCTACCACCAAGATTGGTACAGACTCGTTAAAGGTTCTGTGGCTGCCACCAGATGGCGCTTACTTTTGAAAATGGTACAGTAAAAGCAGAACTTGGCTTTTGTGTGATTAAAATACTGAAAACTATGGTTTTCATTCTCTAAATCATGTATGCTACTCTCACGTCAATATTTGAAGCAGATAATTTTGCTGATTAGATTGTAGCTGTTAGAAAAGCAAAAAAGAAACACCCCCTGTCTTTTCAAAATAAAAAAACAACAACAAAGATTTACACATTTTTACCCGTAGTGGAGACCAGTAAACACTATGACTAACTCGCTCTTCTTCGACGACATTTCCACAACGTCGTTGCAACGTTGTCTTTTCCAGCAGACACGCAGCGAGTGCTGAAGCAGATGGGCAGCTGGCTGCTTGACTGTTCGCTGTTCTCCTCGCCGCGGCTTCTCAACGTCTCCTTGCTGTGCCCAATGGGCCCAACCGCTCAGTCCAGGTTCAGGCGCTCCGACAATCCGCAGCCAATCACGGAGCTTGACGGTGTTGTCTCTAAGGAGACCTTCACCGTGCTCAGCTGTGGTAAGTTTATCGCCTGTATTTTGTGCTCTGGCTTGAATAAGTTCCAAAAGGTGCCAAGTGCTCTATCCAGACTTGGATTTCTTCATGCCCCCAGTCTGGCTTTGAGGACCTCTTTTGTATCCAGTTAGTGTTTTTATGTAGTGGTGCTTTATCCGGTGCAATATGACAGGAAAAATAGACCCTTTTGAAAATTCAGTGCTATATATAGTGGACAAAAAGCAGTTTCACTTTCGAGAAAGTAATGGCGGTCATGAAGCTGTATTCCATCGGGCACTGTCATCTTCTCACGTAAAAAACAGGTGAAAATTCATTCTTCGATCACCTTGTAATTCTTTCTCAATGCGGAGGGCAAGTTCGTCTGCTTCTTGCGCAGGGGGTAGCGGTGACGTCAGAACGCCGAGCCCCGATTGGCTGATCGCGACACCCCTATCTGAGCGTCGTCTGCTCCTTTGCAACGTCGTCTGCTCGCAACGTCGTCTGCGTCTGTCTTACCTTTCCTGCGACTTTCGGAAGTGCAGAGGCCAGATTCACTAAACAATCTTGCGCCAAAAATGTGCGTAAGACATAATTTAAGAACAAATTCGTATTCACGAAACAAAATTTTCGCAAGTTTTGCGCAGGTTACGACGAAATCCTACGACAGCTCCGAAGCTGTCTTAGCACTTCTTACGATCAAATCAGCATGGCCGACAGCGTCGCGGTTGCGACGACCCACGGACGTTTATTTTTCTACGTACGCTTCTCACGCGTCCCGACTTCAAGCAGCAAGAAAAAAAAGTAAAAAGTACTTGAAACAGACCACGACGAACAAGAACGCTGGATCCACAAACACCCGGGAAAAGCTCCAACGGCCAAGATTCCACCGAACGCGACCAAGCGAGCACGGCAGTTAGGCCTAGCAGGCACTCCGCGACTCGGCGACCGTCTGACCACGACCGGCTGGTATGCTGAATGGAATATGCCCGCGCGACCCTTGTGAACTCTTCCCGTATTACACTTTGACCGCTGACCTCAGTTTTAGATTAAGAGGTCAATTTCTTCCTCTTGTTATCTCCTTGTTTCCCGAGGCAACGGTGAGTCTCGCCGGTGAAAAAGCGGTGAATCTCCGACAGACGCAGGGAAGGTAAAACAGCCATCGCTTTGACTCGCAGACGTAAAGCAGACGACGTTAACTGCGCCAACCCGCCGACGCCGTTAAAGAATGAGGGGTCTCGCCGCACACGAAAGGAGGGAAAAAGTATTTGGGAAAGAACTTGCGGACACTAGCCACCCTCACTCTCGCTTCTTAGCAAACAAACCTCGGCACTTCGGGACACCCCGCCAGTGAGTCCTTTGACTTCCCTCCTTGATGGGCGTCTGCTAGTTGTTAGACAAAAACAACGTACCGCTCGAGTTATTTCGTCTGCCCTCTCTGAAAGGCGAAGTCGAGCTCGCTCGTAAAGACCTGCACTTCCGAAAGTCGCACGAAAGGTAAGACAGACGCAGACGATGTTGCGAGCAGACGACGTTGCAAAGGAGCAGACGACGCTGAGATAGGGGGTCGCCATCAGCCAATCAGGGCTCGGCGTTCTGACGTCACCACTACTTCCTCTCTCATGCGCAGAAGACGAAAATGAGCTCACTTGCGAGGCGTATCTGTTTAAGCTTTGATGGTGTGAACAAGAAGTGACCAGTACAAAGCGGCGACCCTTAATCCCTTGATTAAATTTTCACCATCAAAAGGCTTTAGAGCCAAACTTGTGCCAAGCGATTGATTGGATCACACTCTGAAATAAACGCTAATGCAGCCGTTGTATCTAATTTGTGCGTTGTGTTGTACTTACGTTTTGAACGTAGATGCCTCATACAGCAACTTATTCGTTCATCAGCCTCAAGAAGGCCACCATTAGTTGGGCGCAGATGCCATACACCGATTATTTACTCTTTTTTTGGCTTCACCTTTGTAGCGGGTAATCACAAAACTTTCGATTCTGGATCTAGCCAGTGGTCGCCTCTGCTATTCCCCTTTTGCTGTCTCTTCCGTCTGTGTCTGCGGTTGGGTAACTTGCGCACATTCCACCTTGCTTCCCCCCTATCGTTGCTTCTGCGACAGCACCTCCAGTCGCCTCTTCTTCACCTTCATTGTCAAGCAAGTGTCCTCCCGTTGCCACTCCGGCCGCTGATAGTGATAGTCGCACGATGATAGTGACCAAAGTTAACAGATTGAATTTTGAAAAAGGGTCTAATGGTACAACATGGTTGTAACAAAACACAGATTCTATTTGGCAATCCATCTTGTTTCTTCTTTGCTTGGTTGCAGCCAAGTTCAACACGGCTGACCAGTCGCTGAACATTGCCGCCTTCTCCGTGCTCTGCGCCTGGCTGAGGAAGGCCCTGAAGCACCAGCACGTTGAGGAGAGCCTGCTGGTGTCTGCAAAGAAGTACTGCCTGTACGTCATCCAGCAGACATACACTAGTAAGCAAAAGACCAACATCCATGAACCGTGCCCCATTTGTGCTGTTATGTCCCAGTTACGTAACTGCAGTTACGCTAAGTCACGGTTACCACACTATAGTATGCAGGGACAGCAATCTCTGGCTGTCCCTGCTGTCAAAGCTACAACGCACTTGCACATGTGCATCTCGAGTGCCCATCAAAGCTGTACATGCACACTCTTCTGAAATAGTTGTCCAAAAGTATAGGGTGTGTTTTAGTGGAACTGTAGGCAGTGGGACTGTGGTATAGGGTGCCCATGTGATGAGGGTACTAGACTGTGTCCCTTGTGGCCAGTTTTGTGAAAGTTGGGATGGTACCTCCAGCATTTTTGTATGTGGACAGTTCACAAGCTTGCAGGGAGAGCAAAGAGGAATTTGGGTGCCTGAAGAACTCCCGGGAATTGTTTGGAGAATTATTTTCGTGAACCTACGCTGTCTGCCAATATATGGATTTGTAGTGTGACCATTCTCGTGCAGAACCCCTGACTGTTGAGGACTTGGAGATGCAGCATTGCGTAAGTTTTACTTTCTCTGACCCTAGGCTGGGCTTGAGGCGAGTTTCTCTGCATTAAAAATCCTTAATGTAATACCGTGCAAAATTTGTTCTACCTGAGTCTGTCCTCTAAAATAGCAGCCTGGTTCTGTTAGAGGTTTAAGATTAAGAGTATGATCGCAGTGTTTTCTTTGAAATTGTTTTCTGAAATAAATGTTATGTAGTACAGAGCTGATTCTGAAATTCATGCTTCATTCCAGATTCTGTTAGGAAGTTTCTGACTTGATCTTTGTGAATCTGGCACTGCACTTTGGCCTTCACCTTGACACCGAAACTCGGCAGTTTATAGCGTGATGTTTATAGCCAAAATACTGTAGCCAAATCTTTGTAGCCTAGCATAAAGCCACTGAATACCGTGAAATCCCGAGCAAGCGCCCACCCAAAATTTGGAGATAATCGTGTAAAACTGGGGTATGTGCGCTCCTTAGGTCAACAATATGTAAAGGTATGTCATTCATGTATTCTCCGAATCTTAAAAAATTGAGAGGTGGGGGCTTATTGTAGAATGTGTGGATGCTCGGTATTTTAGTTTAAGCTACACATAGAGTATATTGATGCTCTTTTCCCCGTCTGTCTTGCTTGTAGTACTGCCATTTTGTTGCTGAGTACGGAGCGGCTGCAACTGACTCATAGTTACGATTCGAGAATAGGAGTTCCGCATCTTTAAATGTGCGGTTGGAATGCTCAGGCAACGTCATCTCGCTCCATCTCAGACCGTTTTAACATTCTTAAAGGACCGAAAAGCGTTTTCTGCAATTTCCGACAAAGTTTCAGGCAGCGGGCAACAGCGATTCTAAGCAGCAAGATGGCCGAAACGTCGTCGCTGTGAAGCGTAGCTTGTATTAGATGGCTTCAGCCTAAACTTTCGTCATTGTCGCCGCTTGCAGTGCTTGGTGGAAGCTGTCCACGCATTGGACTTCGTCTGCCAACTGGATGCGTCCTTGGTGCCCGAGGTGACGCCGACCATGCAGAGGCTAACCGGAAGCTACCTCACCTCGCACGTCGTGGTCAGCACCGCCCTGCTCCAGTTCTTGCTTCATCACGGTGCGTGTTCTCTTGGCACTCCGGAGTGCTATGCTATGCATACTTTTTTCAGGAAAAATTTGCTTGGCCTTTCGTGAAACACCCCCATATACAGTTACATTTCATTAAAGGTGCACTGACAGGTTATTTATGCTTGCCAAAGTTATTATTTGTGCATGACTAATGAGAGCCAAACTACCCAGAACACAATTCGCGGCTCGAAATTCGTTTTCTTTCCGCCCGAAAACTGCCGATTGAGAACTGGCTGGTTTGAGTCGCGAACGAGCAACTGAAGAACAACTAAGGAGAAGGTGCGTGTGCTCGGCAGCCCCTATCTCCCCCCTCTTGGGTCACATGTAGGAATGCTTCCACATTCCTACACGTAAGCAGTAGTGTACTCCTGTAGTTTTAAGACATTACACGTTCTATATTCTGCTTTCAGTCACCCTGCGCCGCAGGGGCGCGCGGCCCGCTGTCCTTCGCGCCGTGGACAGCGGGGCAAGCTGCTTGTAGAAATGCGCTGCGTGTGTGCGTTCCATGTAGGAATGCAGAAGCATTCCCTCATGTAAGGAGTACTGTACTCCTGTAATTTTGAGACATCACTGCACCGTGGAAGCCTGTCATAGTGATTATAGTTTGGCTACTAATACGTTTCATGATATAAGCAAAAGTTCCGAATGGATCGCTTACATTTCACGACCAGTGCCATTGACCCTTGTGCAGAATTTCGAGAGCTCGCGAGCGACGATTTGGATGTCGCAGACGTGTGCCTGTCCAACGCAGGTGCCGCGGTGTTATTCAACACCGACGAAGTGCTGTCCCAGTTCTTTGAGCGGGTGGTGTCTCAGGCGCATTGCTGCACCACGACAGCGCTGGAGGTGGTTCGATTCGTCAAGGGCAATCTGGCGCAGCTGTGCTCGACACCTGGCACGAGCATCCTTGAGAAGTACTTCCCTGCGCTGCTCAAGGCAAGTCGTGCCTTTTTGAAACTACGCTCCGTTTTGCACTAAAGGGTCTTTCCCACACTCTCGTTAAGTTATTGCCGAGTTTTTGTGATCTCGTATGACGAGAGAACATACGCTGGCACCATCTATGAGGTGACCCTGGAACTGCATTTCCCTAAAGAGGTTTTGGGGTATTTGAGAGATCAAATGTACGCAACATCTGTGAGAAATGGCCATTTATAACATTGTCAAAAGTTTTTCGAGCCGAGAAAGATCTCTTTACTAAAAACTGTGTCAGTTGATGTTCTGTTTGTTTGGGTTCCCGAAATAGAACCCTGTATGTATTATAGACCTATATATATTATAGGTCTATATATGTGTTATAGGTGTATATATATTAATACCTATATTTAATATAATTCTTGGGTGGATTGGTTCGGAGTGATTTGTTTTTTATGGTGGTACTGGCTTGTGCAGATACTGGCCTGGAGCCCACAGAACTTCAAGGCGGAGTTTGAGAACATTCTTCCTGCCTTCATGTCTGCCAAAACATCCGTTGAGGTAGAGTAAGGCTTTTGAAATTCCTAGCACGTATTGTAACAAGGTCCAAGTGATGAAGTGTGTTGGTGTCGGGTAGTTGCTGAGAAGTCTAAAACCTTGTTTGGTTATGTTTTTTCTTTGGTTGCTTTTCCCCCTATTTGTTGACCTAGTTTTCTATCAGCATTTGATTGCTTTTGAACCTTAATGAGCATATTATATATCTAGAAATGCTTTTTTCATTACTGCAGTAGGCCTTATGCAAAATTGCTTGGTGGTCTGACAACACTGAAAGCGTCGCCTTTTTAATGTTGGGTCTGTTGCAGGTGGGATCTGTTGCCTGTAATAATGCTTGAAAAGTATGAAGTAAAAAAGGGTTAAAATGGTTAAAATGTAGAACTTCTGATTGTCAATGTGGGCTATTACTAAGCACACATTTTGGTAAAAAACCTACCACTAGAGCAGATTTTGTCTTGTTGGCATGTGTGAACTACAGGGGGTGGTTCTCTAGCTATCATCATCACCGTTTGTGACGTCATGGGTAGGACAGACTGCGACGGAATCCACAGATCTTGGATCCCTCGGCTCGTCCGCTCGCTTTATACGCTGCTTGTGTGACGTGCGGCAAAGGCTGTTACATGCATGGTGTTTATATGGTGAAGTGGTACTTGTAGTAGGACATTTGACCAAACTTTGAGACTGCACATGGCCATGCATAGTCGTGCTAACAAACATTTTTGGTGTTGAGGTGTCAAAGCGCTCGGGTGATGGTGTGCTGTCCGCTACCACACTAGAAAAAGCTGCATGACGAAGACAGAATATTCATAGCTTTATCTTACTACATCATCTACCAGGGCGAATAGGGTGTATTTTTTATTATGATTCGAACAAAAAACTAAGAAAGGAATGTCTCATCAAATCGAAAATAAAATAAGAGAAATTCGAGAACCTCTCTCGTGTGTAGTAAACACTTCAGTGGAAGGGACTCTGTGTATCCTGTTGGTTCCAATGTGTTCTGCGAGTGCTGGTCTCTTATTAATTCCAAGTTGGTTCCTTTTTGAATTTTGCGAACCAGTAAACAAACCTTTCCTCAAAAGAACTGGAAGGAAGAAGAGGTGGCTGACTTCTGGAGGCGTTTCAATTAAATCTCTGCTTATTCACCCGGTCGACGCGAAACGTGTGAGTCCCTCTCCCGATAGAAGTTTTATGTCTAGTAAGTCGGCGACACATCATCGTCCTAAAAAATGAGGTATACATGTGCTATGAATTGCTACCATTTGTATGTTTAATTTTGCGGGGCCAAATGGCGCATAATGTGTGTTGTGCTTCTCACTGAGCTATTTTAAATGTGTAAACAATTCTTAGTAATCAGTAATAGAGCAAATTAATCAATCGCCTCAGTTTGCCGGACCATAACCGACAATTTAAGAAGTTATGAAAATTTCTGCTTTTCTTTCAAGCAGAAGTCACGATGTAACAAGCTTTTTTGCCTGATATTCGATTTGGGAGGAGCTAAGCGTTTGTTGCTGACGAGAATTTGCTCGGCAGCAACTGTCAAGTCACACTTGGGTAGAAGCGTCTGCATCAGCAAGCACAATGTAGCCAAAACAAGTGTGCGGCGCTTTTCAAGACAACTGTGCGTGAGTGCACAGCTAATACAGCACACCATTCACGCTGGTCCACTACCCTCAAAACCTTAAATTTTGTCTCCAGAGAGACGGCTTTCCACTTCATCGCCATTGGCAGCTCTGCTACGAGTGGCGTGGTTGGTGATTGACTTTAGTCTGCACTGATTCTTGATGCCTTGCATAAAGGTCAGCAGCGGCTCCCCCACCGTTATTCGCTCGGTCCATAGGTGGCGCTACCTCCCGAAACGCGCATTTTTGCACATCGGGCGATCTGAACTTTCGGAATTTTTCGTTTTGAAATTACTTTTTGTACTTTTTTCTACGTTGCAGTATAACTTTCATAGTATTTCGTGATGCAAGAAAAGCAGGGATTGCTTCGCTATAACCAATAGCGCATCAGATCTCACGGTTTCGTTATATAACTAGAACTCCCATCCAAATAAAGCATGACCAACCAAACTTCGTGATTAGTTTGCTATATCTGATAATACACTATATCTGTGTTCGTTGTAAAGAGGTTCAACTGTAGGCTGGTACCACTAGTAGTCAATCATCTCCTTGGTGTTGCAGGTTTTCTACAGCCTGGTCGATCTTCCGACGCTGACTGCTGCCTTAGTGATTGACTCCGAGATGTCATCCTCTTCGGAGAGTGTTCAGCAAAAGCGGCGTTCCAGTCTCAGTCCGGAATTTCAGGCTTCCATGATGTTTGTCCTTAGGGACGAGAGTGGCATTGGAGACACCTTTGACGGGTAAGTACATCTTTTGCTTTAAAGAGGGGAGTGGGCAACTAAACACATTGAAATAGACAAAATATTAGTAAAACACAGTCACGGTACACTTATACAAAAATAATTATTAACGGCAGTTATAAATAAATCTGATGATGGTATTGATACTAATAATGCAAGCAGGTGTTCCCACTTTGACGGGGCTCTGGGTATGAAGGAATCATTATAGGCTGAAGTTTGACAGCGAGGAATGTCAATTTTGAACTCATGAATATTGATTAGTGAATAGCTGTAAGAGGGGTTGGGAGGAGTTAATTTTTTAACATAAAATTAGTATAAGATATTTTGTGGAAAAGATAGATCAGAGTTTTTACGGCACAACAGAGGAAAAGGCAAAGGGAGGTTACCTTTCATGGATGATACACCGGCTGTAGGATGATAGCTGTCAAGTATAAAACGAGCGCTACGATTTTTAAGTGACTAGGCTAGAGGTGAGTGTGGTTTGACCAGTACCCCAGATTGCAGCAACATAGTCTAATCTTGAGTGAACGAGAGATTTAAATAAAAAGAGTTTAGGAAAAGTCGGGGCTAAAGAGAAGTTATGTCTTGTGTAGCCTAACATGGAATTAGCTTTAGCAAGAATGTGATCAATGAACCTTGATTTGTTAGTTGAAATTCTGATGAACTACAGTCAAACCGGACATATCGAACCAATTTACATCGAATTATTCCTTATACCAAACAATTTTTGTGCACAGTAATGTTCGGGATAATATATAGCAAAAACTACGATTACATCGAACAAAAATAGCAGCCGCTACCGGTATATCGAACTGCCAAAAGCGCCGCTTTGCTCTGCAAGCTGGCTTTCCCCCAATGCAGCCGCCTGCCTTAGGGGAAAGCCAACTTGCAGAGCAAGACGGCAATCTGCAGGAGAAGGTGCTCCTGCTCGGACGTGCTCCGTGCTCTCGGCACAGTTCGGCACTAATGCGCGAATATAGAAGGCAGCTGCCTCAGTATTTTGGAGTCCATTGATAGCGTAGAGAAATATCGTTATAACGAATGCAATGAATAAAAAGCAGCAGAAGATGCAAGACTATTTCATTGTGAAATATGTCAGCAGAAAGTGGATTTTTGAGAGTCAAATTTATTAAAACTTTTATATCGAATTACCCGCTATATCGAACTGGTAGACATTTTTTGCGAGTTCGATATAAACGGGTTTAACTGTATTGCATAAGTAGGGTATGTACTGATACACCCTGAAAAGTAACCCCCCCAGTCGGTTTGACGAAAATCATGGAAGACTGAAGGACCCTGAATTGCAGCTGTCCTTGAATGAGAAAAACATGAGTTTTTCTTATTCGGGGACATGGAGTGAGCACTCCTAATCCTTGACAAACACTTTCTCTCCTTGGGAACAGCTCTTGTCCTTGAGAATGAGAAAAAAACCCATTTTCTTATTAAAGGAGTTAAGGAGGACAAGGACAAGGATTCAGAGACAAGGAGTAAAGAAATATTTCTCCATGGCTTTATTTCTTGTTGATTCAGAGCACATCTCCCGACTGAACAATCTGCACGGTTGCTTCCTCTCTCAGAAAAATCCCACCCCTTATTTCGTTTCCTTTATTTATCGGTACCAGGGTGTTCTCCTGGTATTTTGGTGACACATGCTTCATGGGGGTAAGGACATGCACATGTCGTGTTTTCTTAAATGTATGCACTGTTAAACACTCATTTGTTTTCCCTCTACAAAAATTGACATTGAGAAACGTAAGATTTATTTAGTGAAAGTAATGAGCTTATATTTTTTAAACTACTTTATTATTTGATGATTCAGCAGAAACCTGTTTGCAAGTTGATTTAATTGTTAAGAAGTTTGGTTTCAATAAGAAGAAAAGGGAAGTGATATAACTTGGCTCTATAGTATAATTTATAAGTACACTTCTACCATCCTAGTTGGGCTGCTAGCAATATTAATCAACTAAAGACAATCAAGAAATGTGCATTTCTTTAGCTAATGCACAGGGTTGATAATTGTTATTAGTAGAAAGATAATGTATCAGTCATATGTCTGTGATTTAACTAGATTAGTTTTTGCTTCAAAAGGTGCCAAGGAAGTTGTAATAGAAAGACTTCCATCTTCAAACAAGCAATATGCCAACATTTAGAGCAAAGAGTATGTTTTTCCTCAGCGCAGTGTGACTGCAGTGTGCCTTTTCTGCACTGCACCTCTCCCACAGCACAGCTTTTTCGCAGTGCAGCAATGCCACGAGAAGAAACCAGCACAATGGCATGTGATTAGAGTGAGGTGGCTTTCCCATTGTGCAGGCATGCTGAGTGGGAAAGCCTCTACCACAGGGCACTATCAATTGTTCTCAACTTTGCCCGCATTTCATGCTGAATTCAAGGGGACTTTCAACCGTTTAGGTATAAGCAAAAAGAGCGATGGCAGAAATTATGTTTGTTTTGTTTTGACAGGATTGCGAGGTTCCACGTCCTTGTCGCTGACTTGGCAACTCATCCGAGAGTGGTCCGCTGTTCGGAACATGGCCCCCAGCTCCTCAGGTACAGTGTCCATGGTTGCCATTATATTTTTATTTAGCTTTGCATTAGCCATCGTTTTGTAAGTTTGTAAGGTGTTAATTTTGGTATGCAGTTGCTTCTTCGCCACGTTTGTGCATCATGCGGATGCTGAGTTGGCAGCGCGTCTTTTGCCCGCCATGTTGGAAAGGCTCTCCGTCTGCTTCGGGTCGCGGGGATACTGCGAACGTCTGCGCAAGTGAGTTTTCTTGTCATTTATATTTGTCACTATTTTTCTTGTTAATCAGTTTTAACTCGAATCAAGTATGACTGCTTTACTTAACTGCTGCGATTCGTGTGCGGCATTATTGCTATTACTCTTGTTGCACTAGGTATTCACATCAACCTGCGTTCACAACATCAACGTAGAGAGATGTCACTGTCATGATCCTACCTCAGGGATGCTCAGCTATATGCTTACACACAGTCCACGCCTGTTTGTTGTGTGAAAGTACGGGCTGAGCACATGCTTTGCAATGCTTAAGACACACTTAAGCTGGAGAACCTTTTCCTCTGAAAGAAGGTGGTTGCTCAGATCCTTTTAATTGAGTTTGTATTCTGGAGTTCCTTAGAGTGATCCAGAGTTACTCTAGATAGTACCCCAGCGTAACCGCCTAGGGTACTGTGAGGAGTTCCCTAGAGAAACCCTGGGGAGCTCACCAGTATAGACCGTTTTACTGAAAGAGGGCGAGAGAGAAAAGGGGAAAGGGCTACCGGCGCTTTCCCCCTTTCTGATTGTGTAGAAAGAGTAAAAAGTCCCGGATGAGAGGCTTGGCCGGTGTTGGGTGTCTGCTGTGCCCCAACTTCGTTCGCGCTTTCTTTTCTGTTTTGAACTCGCAAACTTAATTAGAGTAACGGGCTTCGATAGCAACAGTTCCCCGGTCATCGGGACACCATTGCTCGGTCATAGGGTGCAGGAATAACGACAGAAAGCGTCGAATACTGTCCGAGGACCTATGTAGCTTGCAATGAATCCGGCAAGGCGAGAGCGGCTGACCCCGGTCTCGGCGGCAGTGGATTGCGTCCGTAAACCGAAAAGACGTTTCCTAAACGCCATCCTATCGACTGTGCTCGGAACATCTTGTAAATGAAGCGCGCACCGAACGCTGTACCGCCGATGAACATGGGGTACGCTCGCAAGGTCCGTGACAGTATTCTCGTGATAATTGCTGCTTCAGCTTGTAAAATTTTGTAACTGAATTTATCTTAATATTGATAATTTGCAGTGGTGACTCACTCGATTTCATAATTTACAACACTTAGTTGAAGGCTTATTTTCGCCGCCGGCTGAGGCTAGAAATTGTTGGAAAGGTAGTTCTATCGGTTTTCCTGAATAGCGATCCCCTGTGCGATACCAGAGAGCCGGCAAAAGCGCTCCTTGGAGTGCCGCTGGTGGGTTGTTTGGGTTGTTTCCGTTGATTGGGCGCTTTGAAGCGCTGGATAGTCGCTCCAGGGTACGACTCGTGTGTTGCGATCTGCGTCTTCGAGCCCAGTGTGTACGTTTCTTTGTTCGAGTCATGGCATCCGCCAGTGCGCCAACGGGGGGAACAGCGGCAGCGAACGTGTCAGTGGTAGAAATTGGAGGTTAGTGCTCAAAATGTTGCATCAAATAGTAAAATAATTCGTGGCTGCTTTGACGCTTTCTGCGGTTCGATATAAGCACATCTAGAACGTCTTCGTCGTTCATCCACAATGAAATATGAGAACACGGACACGCAAGAAAAAAGCAGCGCAGCAAAACGATCTGTAGCAGCTCCGGGTGTTTACAAAAGTTAATTGAGGTTCCCGGTTCGTGTATCGCTAGTTCATTACTAAAAACGGCTGCGTTGAAAGGGGCCTATTGCAAGCAAAAATTTATGAATGGTTAACCATTTCCAGTCACGCGGAAAGCGGTGGAGCTTCGAAACATTGCAGCAGCACGTGCCTTGCCGAATTCCATGCAAGCTACGAGGTTCTTGGGCGGTATTCGACGCTTTCTGTCGTTATTCGTGCACCCTATGACCGAGCAATAGTGTCCCGATGACCGGCGGACTGTTGCCATCGAAACCCGTGGCTCTAATTAAGTTTGCGAGTCTAAAACAGAAAAGAAAGGCGCGAAAGAAGTTGGGGCACAGCAGACACCCAACACCGGCCATGCCTCTCATCCGGGACTTTCACTCTTTCTACACAATCAGAAAGGGGGAAAGCGCCGGTAGCCCTTTCCCTTTTTCTCTCTCGCCCTCAAAATGGCGCTACCCACGATAAAACGGTCTATAACTCTAAGGAACTCCAGGGTGACCCTAGAGTAATCCTAGTTTGCTGTAGGAAGTTCTCCAGGGTTACTCTAGTGTTACTCAAGGGTAACCCTGGGGAGTTTTTGGCCTTACTCAAGTATTACTCTAGGGTTACTCTAGGGTAACCCTGGAGGTTTTTTATGGGTTACTCCGGGGAACTCTTGGGTTCCCAGAAAGGCCACTTGGGGCTGTGTCCTACAGCACTTCCCTGTCTCACTTTGCTGTGCAGAGCCCTTGCAGACGTGTTGCCCAAGCTGTTTCGGAGGTTTCCCGAGATGACGTTTCTCCTGTCGTCCGAGCTTGTCGACTTCCTGAGCCACACGGCGAGCTACGAGACAGCCCCGGACTTCTTTACCAACCTGGTCAGTGGATCCACGTTTCCTTTGCTGGGTGTACTTTGCTATTTCAGGTCGTGCGACTTCTACCTCACGGGTTTTCAAACTACCATATTTACACGACTGTAAGTCGACCCCCACACATTGCATGTCAGCAAAACGAAAAAAAAAAAAAAAGTTTAAGGTGCATTGTAGGGTGAACATGGGAGAACGGTAGGGCACCTCATTCGAATGCCTGGCCTCCAACGTGTGCTCGACGCCTTCTGGCGTGCTTCAGCTGCACATTTGCGCGCGAAGCGCACCAGATGCCGAAGCGCTATCCAAGTTAGGAAGTGCGCGCTGGAGGCGAGAAAACTGAAACTCCTCGGTGTCGTTCTCACTCTGTCTTTCGTCTGTACTGACGTTGTCGTTCCCGTCATCATCGCTGCTACGCTCCGAAAACGCGTCGTCGGCATCGCCCGACGAAATCTTGCACTTCGTAAACGACATCACCAACCTCATCTTCCGTGCTTGCTCGGTGATCGCGTCGCACTTCATGGGTAGGAATTGATTGCGTGCTTCTGAGACGTACGTTGCAAGGCAGACTTCTAACGATGGAAAGCATCCAGACGTATCCGCATTTTAGCCCGTGGAAGCCCCTTCATTTGCTGTCTCAGTTAAAAATCCTACGTCGTTGCAGACGCCACTGGCGCACCACTCTCTTTGACAGGTCGAACTTTCGTCCAGTAGCGCAGCTGTTGGTTGCTTTGGATGAAGAACGGCCGTTAACGAGTCTCGAAAACCTAAAGTGCCCAGATCACGTTTGTCAATACAGAGAAACATAGTTGGCACTTCAGCACGGTCGCACGATCTCGACACTTTATAAAACAATGTGTAACCGGGTTTATATCACACAATTGCGACTGACGTTTTAGTGAACAGCGGTCATTTGAGCGAACCGACGTTTTAGCGAATTACTGGGGCTCTGTTAACTCCCCCATGGCATTCACGCTGTATCGAAGCGACAGTCTGCGGCGGCTCATTGCAAAAATGTTAACCGATTTGGTCCACCCGTAAACTCTGCTTCGCATAGGTCGACCATTGGCTAAAGTGTCTTTCGATGAAAACTAAGCGTTTGCTAATACGCCGTTCAACCAACTGAGTGCCACCCACATGTGACCGTGCATTGCACGAAAACAAGCAGTGGGGTGTGAGGCTGTTCCAGCGGCTGTTCCGGTGTGGCTCTTACATCAAGTGCCTCCACTCCCGGTGTACTGCACGCCACTCACAGCCGTGCATTCAGGTTGATTTGCGAATCGCAATCAGCATGATCGTGATTTGCAAATCGGGGCCAGTGCACGGATATCAGCCCGAGCACACAGAATGGCAATATGCCACAGGTACAGATGGCTGAACTCGTAACAAGCCAATGTGTTCTTGATAATGTGATTGTTCGTCTTTGTTGGTGGTAGGTACTTTGGTTTTGATTTTAAGTCTCCCCCCCCCTCCCCCCCCCCAGTTCAGATTTGCAAAAATTGAAAAATAGGTCGACCTATGATTATGTAAATACAGTAAGTTCTGGGGAACCAGAGGATCCCCAGAGCACCTTCAACTGTTCTCCAGAGTACCTTCAGAAGTTTCCTAATCTCCCAAATTTCCTCGAGCATCCCCACCCCCATGTAAAGCGTTTTTTTCTGTTTAAGCTCCATTTTAGCTGATCTCAGCTATCCATTGATGCACAACTATGAGCCAATCATTTTCTAGTATGTTAATTATTTATTGGAGGGCCTGTAGGCTTTGGCACTGCTTTACCGTGTCAGTGCCCGGGACTGGGAAGGGTTCCTTGGACGTCACTCAAGAGAGATGGGGATTCCTCGAGATTGAAAGGTTTGAAAGCCTGTGCTCCACATCATAGCTATTTGAATGAAGTTTTGCAGTGGATACTCAAGTGTATTCCGTGTAGGGTTGCCATGGCACGTGATGTCAGTCTCACGCGATGCCATGGTGACACCACGGTGTCATGTCACATCCCATTGTCTGGTGACATGATGCCATAATGACATCACAATGTCGCGCCACGTCGTATTGTCAGGTGACGTCGTAGTGTGGCGCGACATCATATTGTCATGTGACGCTGCACAGTCACATGACACCGGGAAGATTTCTTAGCTGAGTTAAGTGATAAAATTTATCCATTAAATCTGTTGGGAAAATACCTGCATAGAGCACGACGTCGGGGTGTTGTGTCACATCACATTGTCAAGTGACGTGGTGTTGTGCGACGTCATAGTGTCACATCACGTTGCGCTGTCGCGCAACACCGAAAAAATCTTTCTGCTAATTTAGGTTTGAAAATCTATCCGTTATATTTATTGGGAAAATGTCGGTGTGCTGCTTCGTTTTTGGGTTTTATTTTTTGTGCAACTATTTTAACGTCTGTTCAAAAACTATGGTGATATAGTTTCGGGAATTGGAGGGTCAGCGCGATGAACTAAGTCAATAGAGGGAGAGCAACCCTAAACGAGGACACACAAAGTAACATGAGGAGGTAACCATCAGAGCAGGATAAAACTTAGTCTAAGTTTCATCTTGTTCCGACGGTTCTATCCCCATTGTCATCCGTGTGTCGGCTCCGCTTCCTCTTTTGTGCTCCCTAGTTCAGGGGTTCAAAGCTCCAAAGTCTACTGTGACTTTTGCCCATTTTCCTGCTGGGGCCATCCGGCTTGACCTTGATTTTTTTTTTTGTCTGCTTATCCATTTAGGGTTGTAGTCTGAAACAACTAAAAACGAAAATATTTTTTATTAAAAACCTCAAAATGAAAGAAAAAAGAATTACTCTGTTTAGGAAATGACTGGGAGCACGAATCCTAGCTGATATGGTGACGCAGCACTCTTGCCGTATCTATGCCCCATGCTGGCCTCCTGTGGGTGGCGTAGCCAAACCAGCACTACAATTTTTAATGCGAAAGCATTAACTGGTCTTATGGAGCGAGCTGACGTCATCAGTTGGCAGCGCGAAAACGGCAGATAGTTTCCGCGCGCCTTCGGTTCCATTGGCTGGCGCGCGTCGACGGGGCTCCCATTGGCCGCTGCGCCATGGCCTCTGAGATCCTGAAGCACGCGAGCGCTGGTACGCAGCAAACGAAAAGGGAGCGGACGAGCAGACGACAAAGGGAGCGGACGAGCGGCTTGCATGCTTTCGCATTCAGAACTCGTAAGAAATGCTTAGGTGTACCTCGAGCTTTTTCTTTTTTTTTTTTTTTCTAGAAGGTGTTGGCTTAGTTTTCTTTGCAATTTAGGAGAGGAGGGGCTTAGGAAGATCTTGCTGAAGATTGAGGTCATGCATCTACCTGCTTTTGAAGCCAAGACTCGGTGGTCTCTTCATAACCAACCTTTGTCTTTCCGTTGTCTTCGTACCAGGTGTGGGCTGTAGGGGAGTTTGCTTCACCCAATGAGAGCTCGCTGTTCACCCCGCGGGTGATCACGGACTACTTCGAGGTGCTTGAGTGCGTCGCGTTTGAGATGTTGGGTTCTCCCACCCTGCTGCAGCGGGAGCGCCGACTCAGGCTGCTTTGTGTCCTCATCACTAGCCTCAGCAAAGTAAGTGTCTCCTGTTCGTAAAGAGTCAGAGTAACTGGTTTCGCCGCTTACTCAAGAGCATTAGCGATTCTTCCTTCATTGTAAATTTCCTTTCAAGTAATTTTGCATTAGACACACGTTTGAGAAAAATGGAATATGAGTAAATGTTCCATCAAAGTAAACGTCGTCCAAAATAGGTAATTTTGCGTTCGACACTGTTTTAGAAGATTGAGAGCGTGAGTCAGTGTATCACTGCGTCAGAAGAATTGTACCCTATACTTATTGTCATTGAGTAAGAATTGCTACACTTGGAATGGTGCCTTCTATGCTTTCTTGTTTCCTAAAAAAAGGTACAGCACATACCCAAAAACTCTCGTATGTTTTTTCGTTCAAAAATTTATAGGAAACCTATGCTGTGAGCCATCGGAGCCTATTCAATATGTACCGTATGAGTGTCACATGGCCTTTGGGTGGGGACCAGCGACACGTGGGGCTCATAGTCAAGTAATATGTTTGCAGCTCTGGACTGGCTGTGATGGCTCGTGGCATCCGACGTAGGGTGAAAGGGAATATGGCGTAAAATTCTTAATGAACACCCTCCCCCGAGAGATCGCCCGTCCCGTTTTATTGGCTAATTATTCATAACATAAAAATTCAGAAACATCGCACAACCCTCGATTCTCGTCGGATGTCACGCGACGTTCGACAGGAGTAACATCAATCGCGCAATCTGCAGTATCGGTACGTCTGACAAGCAAGTTTGCAGCTGGTTTCCGTGTTTTTTGCCCGCAGTCTGCAAATGATATCAGTTCCCGTGGCGTGCGAGTTTATCGCAACGGGAAACGCTAATCTGCTGCATCTGCGATCAGTGGGGTCACTTTTTTCCCGGGTCATGTGGTTGATAGCGGGTGCCCTGGCGTTTATCCGTCATTTTTGATAAACGTTTGCTGTGTCGTCCCCAGAGATCACCCACCAAATATTTTTCACCATTTATATTTTAACGCGACAGCGTTGAGCTCGAGTGGCAGAAGAGCCGGTGCCAGTGGCGTGACGCAGATCCTGGTTGGTCGATAAAATCATGACATCACAGCAACATGACCTCGTGCGGGAATTTCAAACGGCCCGTAATGCTCACGTGTGGAATGAAAGTGATTAAAAAACGTGACATGCAGTGCTTTTGATTTGAAAATGATGTTTTTTTATAAAGTAATTCATTTGCCTGAAAGAAAAATGTGAAGAATTTAGGGCGGGGTTCAAACCCACGACCTTTCAGTTGTGAATGAGACACACTGCTGCCTAGGCCATGCGATTGGGGCTCGATAACTCTACCGCGTTCCACTCTTGGGGGCGAAGCTTAAAAGACCTCCAAGTTTTTATTTTGGTTGCGTGCTCTTACGGGATTTTATGGTAGTGTGTGTGTGATCAGCGAGAAGGTGTGGTTCCTTTGCCTCTTTTGACTCCCGTAGCTAGCCGTGCGCTCTCAAGACCTGGTGCCTAGGGCTTTGCTCTGCCTGTCCAAGACCGGCCAAGTGTGCGGGACAGAGTGTTCGGGGCCTAGGGCCGTTCTGGAGCGCAGGGTCGCCGAGCTGAGGGCGGTCCTCGAGAGCTCCGGGTGAGTGTAATGCAGATCTCTGTCGGCAGCTTGCCATTTGGAAAGTCATCAGACCATTCCAGGAAAGATAGGGCTGTCTTCGATCCGCCATTTTCAGAACTTGCGAGCTCAGGAGCTTTTGGAAGGAGTGCCCTGCAAGTGTGGCACAAGCAAGTGTGAGCGCCTCACTTGGAAGTTTGGTGCCTGGAATGCAACTTTGACTGACATGTTTAGTGCCCTCTACTAGCGTTGTGCGAATATTCGAATAGTAGTTTAGAATAATGTGCTATTTGATATTCGCTTTGAGGTGAACTGCTACATTCATAGCACTTCTAAAAGTGTTGATTCTGTCGGGCTAGTTCCGTTGAGTGCGCTCTCACCGATCACCTGTGCACTGCGAGGAAGCAATACCCATGAGGCTCGCAGGTTCTGTAGGTATTACTTCCCCGCACTGCACAGGTGGTCATTGAGAAGCACTGAATGGGGCTTACCTGTCGCGATTATGCAAAAATATGTTGGACAGCGATGTCTCGACAGCCCGCGTTCATCGTTCCTGCTTTATTATTCGTTTTTTTTCTTTGTCAAATTTGAAATAGAAGAAAGAATACATAGTGAGTTTCCGAGAAACGAGAACCGTGTTTTTCGGCTTGGGTGAATAAACTAAGCATTGCAGAAAGCTCGAACTTTGTGAGAATGCGACGCTAGCGGTTGGGGTTGAAGGCGAAAGTGTGAGAACATGACGTCACCTGAATCAAAAGATAATTGAGAAAATACGAAATTTCTCTACGAGCTGAAGTCCAGCTAAGCCTAACATCGTTAAAACAAAAAATGACACTTTGGGTGCCTGTAATATCTATTTCAGTGAAAGAAACGTGTCAGCAAGAAAGAAATATCAATATCCTCTTTCTTGTTGAGAAGTTTTTTTTTCCACTGAAATAGATGCTACATGCTAGCTTCCCTTATGTCATTTCGTGTTTTAATCATATTAGGCTTAGGCGAATGTCGGCTCATAGAGATATTTGGTTCTTCTCAATCATCTTTTGATCCAGGTAATGCCATGCTCTCAAACTTTTGTGTTCTATCCCAACTGCCAGCTTCACATCCTCACAAAGTTTGAGCTTTCTGTGATACACAATTTATTTACCCAGGCCAAGAAACACAGTTCTCATTTCTCAGCTAGAAACTCCCTGTACGTATATAGCAAAAAAGATTTATAATTCTCCTAGGTGAGAATAGCTGCGACAAATCTGTCGTTCACTTTAACAGTTCACAAATGAAGTTATAATAAAGTTATCTGAGCCCAGTGGTGAACAAGTGGAAGTTTCTTTTATCAACCTTCAGGAGTTCAGCTGAATTTTCATTTAAGCATGATGCACCGTAGTGAAAGACTTGGAGGAACTATTTGATATTCAATTAAAAAATATTCAGCCAAAACCACTTTTGGCTTTGAATTCGCTTCAAACTCAAAATCCACTATTTGCACATGTTTATCCTATAGACCAATACGCTGTTTACAAACAAGCTCGCGTTCGCCCACACAAGATTTGGGCACTGCGCGTGCGCAGAAACCAAATTCGGGAGGGTGAAGCGTCTGCGCATGCGCAGTGCCGTCGACAGCGCCGCCGCATCTGCGTGACGTCAGGGCCGTGTGTTGGTCTATACACCAAACAGCAACAGCAGAATAGGTGTTTGCCATACCCACCTCGTCTGCTCTGCCTCTGCAAAGGTCTCAGTGTGCAACGGCATGACACGTCTATGATGTCATCGAACAGGAATGGAGGCACCACTAATGAGAACGCAGTAAGCACACCATTCACAGACTCGTTCCAAGCACCACACTTGAAAGAGTGCCCCCCTGAAAGGACCACTCACACAGTGAGAGCATTTGGCCCAAGTTCTCAAACTGGCAGTTTTGAAGATTGTGCATTTATTGGAAAGAAATTGGCAGTAAACCTTCATGATGATGCAGGGACAATAAAAATGATGGCAGCACAACACAGTTTGGTGTGGAGTGCAGATCAGCATGGGCAGCCTATAACCTGTTGAAGTTGCTGAATCACACCTGCAAACTGACTGTCCAAAGTTGAAGATAAAAAGCAGTGAAATTTTGTGATAAGGATGACAGTGATGAGGTGATGGTAGTGATGGAGATGGTTGAATAAGATGCGAGGTTAGCATCAAGTGCTGAAGGCTAATAAAAAAAAAGTAACTCGGAAGTATATTTTTGTCAATTGTGCATCTTTTATTATGTCACATCTTAATAATTGTTCATAAAATATAGTTAAAATTTGCTGATGCAGCTACAAGAAAGCTCATTGTTTTTTATAGTGCTCAATTACTTTATGTGTTCCGGAATGGTGTTGATTCACTATCAGCCTTGATGGTAACCCGGCAAAATTCTTAATAATTTCCGATTTCTATCAGAATTAGTTGAACACATTAATAGACACCTCTGAACCAGTAACCCAAATTGCAATTCACAGTAATTGTTTGTCGCGAAGTTGAAGTTTCAAATTTGGTCTGAAAAGCCGAGATGGTTCTACTGGCAACACTGAAAACATAACGTCAGATGTTATTGTTTTTAGGCTTGATGGCGCAAGCTGCCGCTTGTTACAAAGGGTACAGCTGTTATCATCCATCCGTCCGTCCATCCATTCATGTTGTAATATGGGGCAATATGGGGGCATTACAGCTTGTTCCCGAAGGGTCACGAGAAGTTTGACGGTCTGAAGTGAACGCTGGTGAAACTCGTGCCAGAATAAAAGAAAAAACAGGCGCCAAATATATATATATATGTTTGGTGCTTGTTTCTTTTTTTATTCTGGCACGAGTTTCAACAGCGTTAACTTCACACAAATTTGTGTGAAGTGAACGTATATATATATATATATATATATGCAGAACATGGGGGAAAATATGAATGTCAGTTTTGGCATCACGTTTTTTTGTCTTCTTAATAGCTATTTCGAAGTTAGTGAATAAATATCATGCCGAAAGGAGTGCAGCCTAGGTATACCGAAAATTTGTTTAGGTTGGGTAGGTATAAAAAGCACAAGAGTTCAAGAAACAGTAACATATGGTTTACCAATCACAAATGTTTTGTTTTATTAGGGGGTCCTTATTGGTAATATTGATGTTGTTTGGTTTTTCCTTCTCAACACATTTGATTTTTTTATTTTATAAAGGCAAAGCGAATGACAACATCTTTTTCCACTCCAGTGCTGCTTCTACAATCCTCACACCGCCAAAGGAAGATGAGTTGAAAAGGTGAGGATTGGCATTCTCGTTAATTATTCATAGATTAATTATAAGAAATAAACTGTTGGTAAATTAACGTGGTCATCCCCATGTGACTGAAGCAAGTTGGGAGTTCATCATTGGGGAAACTGCCGGAGTGATAGATGGATTTTTTTTTTTCCAGCAATACTTGACCCTGTTTTGTCCACTTAACAAGCTGTCTTATCTTTATGCCTTGCAATCATTTCAAATCTCCCTGAGACTGAACCGATGTAGGTAATGAACCATCTAATGGAAGTTCACAGAACATCACCGGTTCATGCATTTTCAAGGCCCGTGCACACCATTGCATTTGAGTGCGTGTAATTGCGTTGCGTCTGCAAGTCACCGGGGCATCTGTGCCTCGTATGCCAAGCTGCTCCTTGATTGGTTATCACACTTCATACGAAGCACGGATGATCCGGCGACTTGTGACCCTTTCTCCTCAGGACGCAGTCAGACTACAGTCAAACGCACCAAAATTGGGGAATCAGTGGGCGAGTGCCTCAGCCCACCACATCCCTGTGCACGTGCAGCGAAAGCTCGCTCTGCAGAACCCATGGATTCTGGGTTCAATCGCCACCCCTGCCCGTTTCGATCTGGATGAGCATCGTACCGGCTTGCGGTCGTGTATCACTACTGCGTGGTGCACGTTAAGGACCCCAGGCTAGCGGTTGTACTGCGCTGGCTAAATCGCTCATGTGCAGCTGAGAGACTCGTTGTCCGTTGAGGCAGACCAAGTTCTACACACACCCCCATTTGTTTTTCTAACGACTAATTCTTTTTTTGGCTCGATTTCCCTAGAGCCCCTCTATAAAATTTACGCTTCGCGTTTCTTACAAGTACCGCTAGTAATACTTTCTGCAAATGCGGAAGGCACGTGCAACGAGCGGGTGTTCATCGCCATCCGCTTCTTAGGGCCGCTGATTTCAGTGCTGTGCTGCCATTTGCTTCCAAGGGCTGCACGAGGCATGTGCCTCGTGCATTGGCGCATTCGAGGATGATTGATCTACCTCCAGTTTTAACAAAGTTCCGTAGAAAGGTTGATCGGTGTTTGGACCAAAACGAGGGCTCCGTGTTTTGGAGTTTACCTTTTTTAGAGCGCAGCTCTTAGGCGCCCGTTTCCGGCTTGAGCGGCGTCGCCGTCGGCGTAACCAGGGTCACCCCAAGGTCACGTGACCCCCGAGGTCACGTGACCCCTCAAGGTCACCTCAAGGTCACGTGACCCCTCAAGGTCACCTCAAGGTCACGTGACCCTCAAGGTGATCCCCATGTGACCTCCCCAAAGTCACGTGACTCCCGAGGTCACGTGGCCCCCTCCCCGAGGTCACGTGACCCCCTCCCCCGAGGTCACGTGACCCCCCCTCCCCCGAGGTCACGTGACACCCCCTCCCCCCGAGGTCAGGTGACCCCCCCCCCCGGAGCATATTAAAGAATGAGGGGAGGAGGAGGAGAAGGAGGAGGGGTCTACCCTCCCGTCAGTACCCTTCCCTCCTCCTCCTCCTCAAGAGCTGCGCTCCAATTCGGCGTTACAGGGAGTTGTAAACGGCTTTCACTTTTTTTAATGCTAAAGCATTAACTGTCTGATGGAGCGAGCTGACGTCATCAGTTTGAAGCGCGAAAACGGCACCTTGTTTCCCCGATCCCAAAGGAGCGGAGCAAAGCTGATGGATTTCGCCTTCGGTTCCATTGGCTGGCACGCGTCGGTCGTCAGTTTCCACGACCGCTCACCCCATGGCGCTGCGTGTCTATTAGCGCCGTTAACACGGAGCGTCCAAGGTCAGCGTGCCCAGGGGAGCACGCGCGCTGACCGGCGACGAAAAATATGCAGCAGACGACAAAGGGAGCGGACGAGCGGCTTGTGTGCTTTCGCATTCACAACTCATAAGTGCTTAGGTGTACCTCAAAATTTCTTTTTTTTTTTTCAAATTCGTTTTTTTAGAGGGGGGGGGGGGGCTATTTTTTTTTACAGATTCGGTGTTTTCAGTGTAAATGAATTAAGTACCGAACCTGTAAAAAAGTACCCCCCCCCCCCTTTCCTCCAAGGAAAAAAAAAATGAACATAAAAAATAAACACTTTGAAAGCACGAAAGCAGTGAAAGTCTGCGTGAAATAAATTGCTGTCTGGGAGCTGATTCCTCTCTCATCTGTACTTTCCATAAGCCTTATCGGTTATAACGTTTTTTCCTGGCGGTACCCTGAGAAATGTGTCAGTGGGGTTCTATACTGCAGTAAGCTCGTTTTTTTTTTCAATTGTACTATTGGCTTTCAATTAAATGACCTTTCAAATGCCCTTAGGACACATAAAATACCCATGCCACTTGGGCATTTGAAATGCCTCTAGATCAGGGGTCTCCAAACCCCGGCCCTGGGGCCTGATCTGACCCGCGGAAGTCTTCCAACCGGCCCGGGGCTGGCCGCGGTTCTTCCAATGATGCCGGGCCCGCGGCCCGCTTCCAGCATACCTGCTGCTACCGGCGCAAAAAAGTGCGCCTAAAAAAATGGCGCCGCGGCGCGCTCCTAATGCGCAAACGAAGATACAAGAAGGAACGAGAGAAACTGCATCATAACGCGGGTCCTTTGGCCATATTATTCATTGAGCATTGTCATCACCATTCTAGTCCCCTGCTTTATGTATGTCCGTGGCTATGGTGAAATTGTTTTGCATTATCATGTAAACTCTATTTAGTGTCCCCTCTCATAACTCTTGCATGTTGTCTGCATTAGTTTTATTACGCTTATCAGCCGTGGCGCTGCGTGAATGTGCCCAATTCATATGAACATTGGTTTACGCCTGGGGAGTTTTTTTGGCCACAGTTGTCGTGTAACGTCGAAATCAGCTAAATATTAAATTTTAAGTTCAGCTATATATATATATATATATATATATATATATATATATATATATATATATATATATATATATATATATATATATATATATATATATATATATATATATATATATATACACAGGTTTTTTTTTAAGCTTTACAGATTTGTGTAAAAAAAGGCGTGAAAGTTACACCTATACGGCCAGGGGGACATTCTGTGGGTGACTAATCTTTGCGATAAGTCGGCTAAATAATTAAAATTTGTTAATTAACTTTTTAATTAGTGAAAATAGGCATATGGTTCCAATTAGAAACTTACTGAGCGTCATCGAAAACCACTAAATCAACTCTATTTAGAACGACTTGAAGCTCGTGGGAATTACTCGAGAGCACGCCAAAGTTACCACTCGTGAAGCAGGCACAAAGCTAGCAGTGGCGGAACGCGAGACTGCAACAAAACCGGCTTCTTAGCCACAAAGTTTGGAGACCCCATCAAAATTGATCATTTTTGGGGCTGAGCAATTGATCCATCGGGTAATTGGATGCAGTTGGAGTTTGAAATTTCGAGGAGAAATTAAAAAGGCTTGCTTTATTACTGGTGCACATCTATGCAGTTTAGAAAGCAGCACTGTTGTATTACATGATAAAATACTTTAGCATTCTTTAATCCAGTGTGACCATCAGTTTTAAAAATGATGTAAAAATATTTTATTTTTAAGATGATTTCCACATCTTTTTTTGTATGGGTGGTACCGCGTCGAGTTTTAAATGAGGTTACACATTCCGCCATATATGGCATAGCAAGAAATAGTTACAAATAATGCCTAGTTGTGTACCTTTTTTAAAGATATGTCTGAAGGTCATTGCAGGGATTAATCGAATAGTTCGTTGATTAAAGGGTAGCGATCAATTGGGTTACAACTTTCGATGGATGCTCAGCCCTAGTAATTTTGATTGTGCTCTTAATTACTCATGATTAGTACGCTACTTTTTGGAAATTTTCGGTTTGAAAAGCATCTGAAATAGTCGTGCGATTTATGTTACATGAACATTCTTAAGTACTTTGCAGTGCTGAATTCTTTTATCCAAAATTTTCGTTTACTAGTTTGCTGACACTGAAAATATTTTTGACTCATTAAGCCTTTGAAATTTCGATTTTTTATGAGCAAACTGTTGAATCCTTTGGGAAGAGAGGGCAGCCAATTCGGAATCTAAGATCTAAAAATGCTGTCACTTGGAACCGTTTTTTAAATATTTTTTTTATCACTTTTTCCAAAGGTGTCATCGAGACCTGACGCAACTGCCCGGCCTTGTTCGTCTCGTATCTGCCATGCTGGTGACCGAAGGATCGCCTCGGTGATTCACATTTATTTAAAAGAATTCAAACACAAATAAAATAGCTTGTTTTGTAGCTTCCCTTGGGGTTTGGGATTAATTTTTTTTTCTTCCGTTTTCTTTGACTGGAGCCAAAGCTTTGCACTGTTATCTGGCTAGTGTAGAGCCAATATCACCTGGAAGACAAGGGCTGTGTATGACGTCATCGTTAGTGGACCTCTGACCCGCCCCAAGCGACAAAGACGCTGAAGCTCGACGAGGAACGCCGCAAAGGGACAAACGCGTCCGTCTTGGCGTTTCAAAAAGCACCTTCAGTGTCACTAAAGCTGCTTTGTGAAAGTTTGCCACTTCAACCAAGTTTTCTTTTTTTTGACACAGTCCCTCGGGTCTTCAACCTCGCCATATTGAGTACGGTGTCTCAAAATTAACCAGTGTCTTTAAAGGGATACTTCAACGAAATTTGAAATATTCCCGTCGTGTTCAAAAATAGGTTGAATATGATCCACAATTTCCGTAAATGACAATCGCACGTTTGTATTTTGATCCTGGTGGCTGTATTTTCCGTTATAAACGGCCCACTCTGGCAAGCCCTCGGAGAAGGCCCAGCTTAGAGCACGTGACATCCAACGCAGTGGTGACGTAGGTCGTCTCAAGACGAGCAAAGCTACGGCGAGGCTGACGTCGAGAGGATGGCCTAGTCATTCCAGCCACCGAAGCGGCTGCTTTTGTACGAATTTTGAGTGACGGGTTAATCTTCTGTAATCTTCTAGGGGGACAATAGCGACTTCTGCGACACACAAAAGGCATTCTCGGGAACAGGGGAGTTTCTCCTGCCCCTCTTCTCTCGTCGTGGCCGGAGACGAGACAACCTCCGTCACTAGCTGTCAAGGTTCCTAGACGAGCATTACAAACGAGGCGTTAGCGACATCCACCAGGTGCTCTTTGCTAATCGTTTAATTCGTTTTAAAATTCCTTTTCGAGACTTTTTAACAATATATTGGTATGTTCCATGTGATACTGCTCTTTTGAACACATATAGACCAAAAAATGAGCGCCGAAATTTCGTTGTAGTATCCCTTTAAAGACCAGTTCGCGCTTTCCGCTTTTCCCTCGTTTCCTCCTTTCCCCCCTTCTACCATGTCCACCGTTTCTTGTTTCCCTCTCCCCCATGATGAGGAGGATATCTTTTGCCTTGCAGAATCTTGAGTCTGCTCGTCGGCCTTTAAGCTCTGAGCGACTCTAAAATGCTTTGTAAAAGCGACACTCGTCGTATAAAACAAGTCGATTCAGTATGGTGTCGGAAGACTACCCAATCAAGATTTTACTAAAGCGTCGCGTTATTTTTATTAAATTAAAAAAAAAAAAAAAAAAAAAAAAAAAAAAACTGCTCGGGATTGAAACCGAAACTGGACTGGGGAGGAAGAGGAAATATAGAGGAGAACAGTGTTGGCGACAGTCACGTGGCTGTGCAACTTTTCTTCAATCAACATATTTTTGACTTTTAGAAACCACAAGAAATGGCTATTACATTTCTTTCCTATTTTTAATATTGAGTGTGTGCTTTCAATGATCCAGGACTTTGATTATATTTGGTGGTTGTCACGAAAGAGGAGCACAAGCATAAATTAAATTCGTTTTCACCACGAACTACACTCTCCCCACCTAACACCGTTCGGGAACAAATATATTTCTATGAGTATCTGTATTCCCGGATACTTTTTCGCCGGTTTTGCAGAAGTATCTCGGGGATATCTGCCCAGCCCTGACCAATACTAACGTTTTAATTTTTATACAGGTTGGTACCGCTTTTTAAGCATGAAATGCTTTAAGTCAGACGAATACCAACTAGGAAATTTGAACTTCCTTGTTTGGGTATAAATTCTTCCATAGCCCACTGGACAGTTGATGTCAACAATTCAACGCAAGATTCAACGTCCCCAAGGAAAAACTGGTGAGACCAATCGCAGTCGTGAAGACGATTGTACAGGCCAAAATAGTCGCCATGCGTGTACGTGAACTTTGGTATGGCTTGCTCACGTAGTGGTTGAAAATACAAAAATGGTGGATGAAAATTGTCGATTGCAACAAGCGCGTCACGTACCTCATTCATAAAAGGTTAAAACAGCGCAAAAAACGACGGACAGGGTAAAGAAGGACACGGACAGAGCGCTGTCCGTGTGCTTCTTTACCCTGTCCGTCGTTTTTTGCGCTGTTTTAACCTTTTAAGTATGTCATACCAACTCGCCCAGGCTTCAACTTTACCCCATTCACTTCGAAAACGATGAAGTGCTCTACATTCATTTACAAGAACGAATGTTTTAACAGTTGAGAAAATTTGTGTTCGATTGCGGTTCCAGTTGGGACAACATGATTAACTGGAGGTCTTGTCTCGGAAGACCTCCTGACTCCATTTGCACCTGCCGTCCTCCGAAAAACACATGCTCGCAAGACTAAATAAAATCAAGCCAGCGGGAACAACTAGATATAGGTCGTCAGTACCAACTAAAGGCAGGCCAGCTAGCCCAACTGGAGGTTGGTCAGCAGGACCAGCTGGTGGCAGGCCATGAATATCGATTGGTGGCAAGCCATGAAGACCATGTGGAGACAAGCATGCTTGGCAAACTGGAGGTTGCCCAGCAAGACGACCTGAAAGCAGGCCAGGTGCTCTAACTCGAAGCATCTAGGTATACAAGACCAAATGGAGGCAGGCCATAAATAATAATTAGTGACAACAAGCCATAAAGACCAACTTGAGGCAAGCATGCTTGGCAGACTGGAGGTGGGCCGTCGAGCGAGATGACCCGAGGGCAGGCTAGGTTCTCCAGCTCGGGGCATCAAGGTCTGCGAGATCAAGTGGAGGCAGACAAGACAAACTGAATACAAGCTGTAAAGACCAACTGGAGGCAGGCAATCAAGACCAACTGGAGGATGGCAATCAAGACCAACTGGATATAAGTCATAAAGAATAACTGGAGGCAAGCCATCTTGACCGACTAGAGGCGTGTCAGCAGAACAAACTGAAAACAGACCAGGTGGTCCAAGGGGAAGCAGGTCAGCAAGACCAGCTGGACTCAGGTCAGCGATAACAACTGGACGCGTGCCCGCAGGCCCAAATGAAATGAGGTCAGCGGGACCAACAAAAGACGGGCCAGTAGTACTGGTCCGTATCTTGTACTTGCTAGAGCACCATATCTCCGAAGGAGCTATAGTGCTCTAGTACTCGCTACAAAGTAAGTAGAATATATTTTTAAGCTGAAACTTGCTGGCACAGTTACTCATTTCTCTTTTTTTTTTCGTTAATCAAGTTATATATTAAAACTTTTTCACGGAAGGAGAAAAAACGACAACTTCAAATGCTCCTTATTTTCCCCAGATAGATTTTATAGACTGGAACATCGTCCCGAAACCTAATATGGTCTAGGGATAACATTTGATCGTTTTAGAATAGTTCGCCTGAGCCGTTGATTAAACCACAACGAAGGTGGTCTAGTTTGCCTCCCATACCAACTTAATCCTGGGCGATCGCCCAAGTCGCCCGCATCTAAGGCCGGCCCTGCCTCAGGCACGAAGTGCGCATGTGCGAGTCTTCTGCGGTAACATATGCGCGCAGTTCGTAAAGTAGGGCCCATCGCACCGTATCGGATATGCAAAAACGGTTCCCTAAAACTGTGATGACGCTATCGATTGGGATGCTCGTCACGCGATGCGTTTACGAACAAACCCGCGTTTGCCCAGACCAGGTGTGGACACTGAGCGGGCGCAGTAATCCAATTCGCGCCAAGAGAAGCGTCTGCGCGTGCGTCGTGCCGACAGCAGGGCCATCGCAGTGTCGTGAAGTCAGAAAACCCGACGAAGGACTGTAGTGGAAGCTACGAGTTGCCAGGTCCAATCACAGGCCAGTTCAAAACCACGTGGGGTATATAGATTAATGCGAAAGCATTAACTATATCATGGAGCGCGCCGACGTCATCAGCTTTGAAGCCGCGTATAACGGCCCCTAAACTATTTTCTCCAAGTGAAGCTGAGCTCCCAGCTTTGAAGCCACGCGAAAAGCCTAGCCAAACGGCACCTAGTTTATCCGCTCCCAAAGGAGCGGAGTGTAGCCAGAACCTGATGGATTTCAGCTTCAGTCCCATTGGCTGGCGCGCGTCATAGTTTCCAGGAACGAGGCTCCCATTGGCCGCTCCGCGTCAGTTTCTACGACCGCCACCCCATGGCGCTGCGTGTCCGCGCCGCCAGCGCGCCCGCGCCGGTAACACGAAGCGTCCAAGGTCAGAGCGGCGAGGAAAGAGCGCGCTCGGCCGTCGATGCAAGTACGCCGCAGACGAAATAAGGGAACGGAATAACGACATGCATGCTTTCGCATTCTCAATTCACAACAAGTGCTTAGGTGTACCTCCAGCCTTTACTCTTTTAATCCGACATGCGTATGCGGTCTGCAAGACACAGGAAGCACTAATATGCGCGTACGAGCAACATACCAGGTGCTTTCTAAGTGACTTTAGATTGGGCCTCGCAGCCCGTAGCTCTGACCGTGGTTTATCCTAGGGCGAGACGAAGTATGCTATTTTTTAACTCAAGAATGTAGGGTGAGGGAAAGGAAGGCCAGGGAGGAGAAAGCAGACGGAGTGCTGGAGAAGAGAGGGGAAAATTCCTCCTCTCTTTAGCGTTCCGTCTGCTTCCTCCTCCCTGGCCTTTCCTTTCCCTGGCCCTACCTTTTTAAGTTGCAACAAAATATAGCATATTAAGAAAAGAAATATATATATATATAAAAAAAAAACAAAAAAAAAACATTGCTGTAGTTGAAGCTTGGGCGAGCTGGCATATACTTGAGAATTAAAACAGCATAAAGGACGAGGTACCGGATGAAGGATGACACAGACACAGCGCTTTGTCTGTGTCTTTCTTTATCCGGTCTCTCGTCCTTTGCGCTGTATTAATTTGTAAGAAAAACAACAACTAAAAACATGTTTTTCAATGTATCTTCGGGACACATGTCGGTGTCTTTTCGTTTTACTTTGTTTTACTTTTTTGAACTGAGACCAATCGTAACAACCCAAGCACGCGAGTTCACAT